TTAGTTTCATATATTAAGTAGCTTTCGTCGCGACTCCTAATCCTCGTTCGTTCGTTTCAGCCAAATGACGTCCACTGCTGGACAAAGGCCTCCCCTCCTCCCTGCGCTGCCCGCACCCAGGATCTTCCCGCGACCTTTACCAGATCGTCGGTCCACCTAGTAGGAGGCCTGCCCACGCTACGTCTTCCAGCCCGTGGTCGCTCGAGAACTTTTCTGCCCCAACGACCATCGTTTCTACGAGCTATGTTTTTTTTACGAGCACGTTTTCGAGATCTATTCAACGCTGTGCGTTCCATTGTCGGCCGTTTGGTGTAGTGGTTCGAATCGGACTACTATTCCGGAGGTTGCGGGTTCGATTCCCGCACAGTACAAACATTTGTGTGCATGAACATATTTGTTTGTATTGGACTGGGTGTTTTCTATGTATAATATGTATGTATTTACAAAAAAAAAAAAAAGTATTTAAGTATGTTTATATCCGTTGTCTAGTACCCATAGTACAAGCTTTGCTTAGTTTGGGGCTAGTGGCGCAGTGTAAAATGTCCAAGGATATTTATTATTATTTATTTATTTGCTGCTTGACATAAGCAAGCATCGTTTGTGAATACGGGCGTAAGTTATAGTTTAAACCACAAGAGTACACCTAGCTAGACCTTCCAAAACTACTATCGCATGAACAGTTATAAAAAGTAAATTAATCGTAATAATTAGTTGAGAGCCCCACAACCCATCCTACTAATTGATAGCTTAATTAACTATCATGTTACACCGGCGCCGCGGTTTGGGAACCGGTTTTTTATCATAAAAATCGGTACAATTTGATAAATAAGTCTTTAGCTTCGAAATTACCGCACCGGGCGGAAGTACCTAGTAAGAAATCTGTAAGTTTTTTAAGAAATATTAGTAACTAGCTGTGCCCGCGACTTCGTACGCGGGAAAACCCGTTTTCGCAACATTTTTCATTGTTGCTCTGCTCCTATTGATCTTAGCGTGATGTTGAATAGCCTATAGCTTTCCTCGATGAATGGGCTATCTAACACTGAAAGAATTTTTCAAATCTGACAAGTAGTTCCGGAGATTAGCGCGTTCAAGTAAACAAACAAACTCTTCAGCTTTATAATATTAGTATAGATTTTGTATTTCACAAATTACTGAGTCCCGTTAACTCCTCCAAGCTTGTGTTAGGAGTGAGTTCACCACAAACCAGTGACGAACAACAGTCCGATGCTGACGTTAAATCAATTTTGTTTTTGCTTTATCTTTCCTTGACCTGTCCCCGAAGGCAGCGCCTGTTCACAGACATGACGTGTGAACCAGCCATTGCTTCACTCGACCATATTAAAGGGAATATACCTTCACACGCCACTACCCCGCCTTTTTATGGAAAAGTTTACTAGCTCTTCCATCCGCTTTGCAATGGAGGGAAGTCGAACCTTAATTTCGAACTCCTCCAATGTTCTTCTGATTAATTTCGTTGCGGGTCCAATCACAGTTTAACTTTCCCCCGGGACAAACTTGACCTCCACTGGTTGGGTTATTGGCGGTCAAGCTGTAGATCCTGGCTACACAGGAGTTGCAGCGGTGGGAACGAGAGGTGGGAATAGTCCCGTAGCTCTTCCATTTTAATTTATTCTGTACTAACATTTTGTCGTTTTTCATTGGTTTAAACGTGAAAAACTAATAGATAACAAAGTTACATAAACATTTAACAATGAAACAATGGGGATGATACTTACTCTTCCTTGAAGTCTGTTGACCCATGGTGGTTTTCTACTCGTACAATGAGAGGTTCGCCCAGCGAACTACCATCTGGAAAACAATGAAAACCATGTTAATAAAAACGCGATCAAATGTTAGAAAAAATCTAACCAAATTGGGAACTTCCTCCTTTTGTTTTAAGTCTGTAAAAAAGGCTCAACTTAGAAGCTTGATTTTCAGCTTCAAGGGACATAAATGTATGACGCCCGTATTCACAAACGATGCTTACTTAAGTGAGGCAGTAAATCGAACGCACAGCGTTGAATAGAGCTCTGTGATTGGTTCGTGTCACCCTGTGCGGCCACGCGCACTGTGAGACCTCATAGTAATGTTTGTGAATACGGATGTTAGATATTAAATTCAACATAACACACAGGTATTCAGTTCAAATTACAAAGCTAGAATATAACTGTCCAAATTATAGATATTGGGAAACAATTTACAGTAAATGTTACAAGACACTAAATAATAGGAAAACATGTACCTATACATGTATACGGAAAAGCAATATTTGCAATTTATCTATTAATTAAATTATACAATGTATTTTGTGGTCTTCACGATAAACAAATACTGAGTAATTTGTGTTTAATTTAATTATTTCTGGATTTATACCGTAAAGGTACGTCAAGGTCACGTTGGTATCTCTTGTACGGAAAATAGTGTAAACTGCCAGTCATTGGACACTTAAGAAAGTTATTGGACAGTTATTTACTGAATTAAAAATAGCATTTCTATTTCAACAACTGAGAAATTCCGACTGATGGAGATAAAAGGGCGTTTTTAGAAGGAATATTCATTTTATTTGAAGGAATATTCATTTTAAGAAAATTCAAGGGTTGTTTTGTCCAATGACTGGCAGCGTCCAATGACTGTCGGTTTACCCTATCTATGGTATCATTGCAACAAAACCAAGTGAACATGTTTAGATGAACAGTTGCCGTCGCTTAATGATGCTGTAAAAACACCAATTAGTTGTAACAACGTGAATTGGGATAGCACAATTACCAAGCAATTAAACGTTAGGCATAGTGTGACTCAATGTTGGCAACATTACAATTGTAAAAAGCGTTGAATCATTCGTAAAACATTGTACGTAGGTACCACATGTTTAAGATATGTATTATAATCAAAAATGATGTAATTGGGGCCACCATTTCTATTTACTTTAACAAAAAAGTATGCAGAAAATGAGCTGGAAGACGTAGCGTGGGCAGGTCTCCCACTAGGTGGACCGACGATCTGGTGAAGGTCGCGGGAGGTGCCTGGCGGCGCAGGACCGGCCTTTGTGGAAATCCTTGGGGGAGGCCTTTGTCCAGCAGTGGACGTCTTTCGGCTGAAACAAACGACGATGCAGAATATGTACTTTAGGTGGCTGAACTGTACTGCATTTTAACTGAATCTTTATCTTGAATGTGAATACTGTCTTTCACCAAAGGAGTTTGTGGTAAAATCATAAAATCAGCCAGAATAGTTATTTTTTCCTAGCAAATTTCACATTTTAATATTTCATGCACTTCTATAAGTAACTCATAGAAACAAAAATACATTTCTACAAAATTATATGGGTATTTTACCTCGGCACCTAGACGTCTAGTCTCAATTTAAGTATGTTTAACAACGCTGGAAACCAGCCAGAGTGGAATAAAACACTTACTGGACAAAAAATGGGCCAGATCTCAGCAGATGTGCATTAACACAGGGCTCAGAGAGACATGCGTCACAGCGGTGAGTGCGAAACCATTAGCATGGTTAAATTTGAATATTTCAATAATAAACACTCAACATCTGTTGGAATACAGAAGGATACAATGTTGTTTTCTTTTATTTCAATTGAATTACGTTTTAAAGATTCATAAATTCTGCTTTCATGTATGAATAATCTTTCAGAACTATAGTTCTACAGATATTACAATATCTACAATGTACCTACAATGTTTTACAGAAATTTTGTACCTGCTTTTGCATTTATAATTTTGACTTCCTACTAATATTATAAATGCGAAAGTTTGTATGGATGACTGGATGTGAACATGTTTGTTACTCTTTCACGCAAAAACCCATGAACGGATTTTGATGAAACTTTACAGTATTATTGTTTATAGCCCAGAATAACATAATATAGGCTATAATTACTATCTATGACAAACTAAATTTCATGCGGGTGAAGCTGCGGCCAAAAGCTAGTACATGATATACTTAAAATTACAAATTCAATAATTACTTTTAATTAATTTAAATTGTAACAAATGACTTAACAAGTTAATATTGATATGTGTAACCAAGAAATAAGAAATTAAAAACTGGTTTTAAAAATGACAACAAAAATTAAGACGTACTTACGTAAAGACAGGGCAGTAATATCGTGCGAATATAAATACGCAATTTAGCAAATTGCATGCGTGAAGGGGTCAACAATGATGATCAGTGTGCAAGTGTGGACAAGTTAGAACAAGTTCGTTAACCTCTTTTAACCTTTTAAAAACGATATAATTTGTTTTCACACTCCAGCGCACATACATACCGCGCCTACTACTGCACAAAGCACACGCGAAATCACCTCAGATTAGTCACGATATAAATAAAATTTAAACAAAACAAACTTCATGGAATCACTCCGCCATTTTGAATTTACCTCACCAAGAACATCAAAGGAATTTCAAACAGAATTTCCATGGAAATCTTGTAATTATGTCTCTATACTCACGTCTATTGAGAAACTTGGCAATAAAGTCGTCTGCCTGCTTCGTTTTCGTTGTAATGTAACACTAATTCACGTGAACTCGATTGACGACTGCACAATAAACAATTGTGGAACGATACATCCACTCACATGCTTAATTTATTCACCAATCTACGGCACTTTATTTATACTTGTAAAACAAACAAGATATTTACACATTTACAAAAGTAATTTACAAATTTTTAGTAATTAGCACGCAGTCAAAATACGTCGTCCCTTGTTGATTCTGACATTTTTGTTTAACAGCGCTCCGTTTCACACACCGATCTTATTTATTTTTATCGTCATTTATTTTTCGAAATATATGATGAAACGTGTAATGCATACAATGAAACGTTTTCTATCTAATTTCTTTTTTTATTGCAACTAGTAACGCAAAGAAATAAACCACTTACCATTTAGAACTGAGCTATATCAAGAAAAGCTCAACTGACTAAATCGAATGTATCGGACATCACTAGTCTTCCATAGAGAATCGATTTATTTTTCTTTATTTCAAAATAATTTCGGACGCCATTTTGTGCGTCGCGTTTTCTTCTGAAAATCAGCGGAATTTTCACGTGAAATTCAAATAATTTGTCTTCTAGGTGTTTAGTATAAGATGTCCAAACGTCGGATTGAAGTGATGGACCCTTTTATCAAGAAAAAAAGGTCAGTATTAACAAATTTCCTAATTCTTTGGTACCTCAACATGTTGATGGTATACCTACCATGCTTGATTTCGAATGTTTCTTTGTTGTGGTTGAAATTACCCCCAAATGTACAACATTTTCTCTATTACTACTTGTATCGTAATTAGCGCCGTATAGGTTAGTTACTTTTAATGTCAACTCACAATTTTCGTGAGTAAAAACAAACATACCGGTCGCTAAATGTAAGTTTACCACTAGATGCTCCTCCATTTAAAATTGACGTTCACATTTCCTGTAAAGCAGTGGGTTCGACTCCCTAAGTATTACAGTTATTTCAAGTACATATACTTGTTTGATGCTGATAAATAAGCCTTAAGATTAAAGATAAATCTAACAACCTTGCCCAAATCTAATTAGCTAGATAAAATGCCATTTTTCCATTTATAATCCTCTTCCTAATTTGTTCTATTTCCTCATGTAAATCTATTTTCACGTCAAGTAAAAATTTAGTACATTACTGTTACTTTAAAATCAGATAAATTGCAACACATTGTGCTAATTCTGTATTATTTGATGAAACGGTAATTTGCTCAATTATAGTTACTCATGTGAAGAATTCAAACATAATTCTACTGTATAAAAAAGGAAGTCCACTCGACATCGGCAACTATAGACCTATCAGCCTACTATCTGCAATATATAAACTCTTTTCATCAATACTTCTCAGCAGAATAGCATCAAAAATTGATAACAATCAACCAATAGAACAAGCGGGCTTTAGACCACATTACTCAACAATTGATCACATCCATACAATAGAACAAGTAATGGAGAAATTTAAAGAATTTAATAAACCACTTTATTTGGCATTTGTGGATTATTCCAAAGCATTCGACAGTATAGTGCACTCATCCATATGGACTGCTCTAAGGAACAACGATATAAATAAAACATACATAAATATCATCAAAAACATCTATTCCAAAAGCGTAAGCAGAGTAAAACTGGAAAGACAAGGAGAAGAGTTCATAATTGGAAGAGGAGTGCGGCAGGGAGACCCGCTCTCTCCTAAACTGTTCATAGCTGTGCTGGAGGACATTTTCAAGAATATTGATTGGAAAAATAGAGGCATATGGATAGATAATAATAAATTGACACACCTAAGGTTTGCAGATGACATAGTTCTATTCAGTGAATCAGCTACAGACTTAGAGAAAATGTTGCAAAGTGTGAACTATGAAAGTATAAAAATCGGCTTACACATGAACGCTTCTAAAACTAAAATCATGTCAAACAGTCCTAGGAAAACAATAAAAATAGAGGAAAAACCTATAGAATATGTAGATGACTATGTATACCTAGGCAAATTGGTGTCATTCGATACAAACAGCAACGAAAACGAACTAGACAGACGAATAGGTGTAACATGGAAGAAATACTGGGCACAAAAAGAAATCTTAAAAGGGAATTATAACTTAAATATAAAAAAGACAATAATGGATTCCTGCATTCTCCCAAGCCTAACTTATGCTAGCCAGACATGGGTCTTTACGGAAAGAGTAAAAAACAAAATCTCCTCTTGTCAACACGCAATGGAGAGAAGTATCTTAAAACTAAGAAGAATACAAAAGACTAGAAACACAGACATCCGTATGAAAACTAAATTATCAGATGCTCTTAAATTTAGCCTAAAGCAGAAGTGGAACTGGGCAGGTCATTTGGCAAGATATAAAGATAAGAGGTGGACCTATCAAACAACAAAATGGCAAGGCCCAAAAGGCAAAAGAAACGTAGGACGGCCGAAGAAAAGATGGGCCGATGACATAACAAACAAGGCAGGGAAAAATTGGATGCACATAGCCAGCGACAGGGAAAGGTGGAAAAAGATGGAGGAGGCTTTTACCCAAGTGGGGCCACAAACAAGAGATATAGATTAATTGAATCAAACTGTAAAAATGTGGAATATAAAGCTGTAATAATAAATAATAATGTGAAGAATTTCTTGTATCAATGTTTTGTATTATTGTGTAGCCCTTCAAGCACCAGAATCGAGACAATAGAAATCAATTGTTACACAGTCTTTTGCGACCACTTAATTGATGTGGTAGTTACGTTTTGTACCATCAGTTGAGTGGTAGTGCACACTGGTTTCGAATTCAAAAAGAACTACCTATTAAAATTTGTGAAAACTGTTTTGGCAAATGTGAAGTTTAATTAGTAACTCTATGTGTGCTACTGTTTGTTTTCCTAACAATAAAATAAATAAGCACAAGTTCATCGCCATCAATAAAAGAAGAATAAAATAAATACCTGGGACTGTATCCTCCACTATCTGTATTGATATTAGCCTGCATAAAATATGCAATCGTTATTCACCAGAGAGGAGAAGGCAGCTGCCGCAGCCAAGTCGGGGGGCAGCGGGGAGTCGTCAGAGCCCGCGGCCAGCCTTGGGAGCAGCATGCCGCCTACTACTACCAGCACGCCTGGGATTAACCATTTTACAGGTACGATCCAACTAAACGGCTTTTGTTGTCACCACTGTAAGGCGGGTTTTAGAATCACGCTAACCGTCAGCGCTAACAGATCAATATGTATGTAATTGAAGGAAACGTTTTTGAGTGACGCTGACCGCTCGGCGCCGACGTTTCATACATTTTGGCTGTCAGCGCCGACGATCAGCGTGCGTCAGCGCGATACTAAAACCAGCCTTACTCGTGTTTCCACCACTGTAACTCCTTGATTAAAACTTAAGTCCTTCTGAGTATATGATAGAGTAAGAATTCCTACTGAAATATTACAGGCTATGATGAAGTAGTTTGGGGGAAATCGTCCTAAAACCAGATTTGCTTTGAGCTGATTCCTCTTTAGCCTATATGCCATTTATGGCCATTAAGTTCGTCTATTTCACTGTATTATTGTAAAATAAAATAAACGGTCTTAGGGATAAGGGCCCATAATATTCTATTTTTAAGTTCTGGAAGCAAAAAATCCAGTATTGCAATACTTATGTCACTTTACAATCAAAGATAGATTTACTTAAATGACTAGATTCATAGACAGGGTGTTGGTATTATACATAAACCCCCTTACTAATCAGTTTAGTATGGAAATGTCATTCTAAAACAGTGTTCAATAACTGTGCAACTTTTTATTAGTAAGTGGGTAACAGTTTTATGTTATTACAAATAAACTGTACCCTCCACAGGTCTTCCACACTCCCAGCGCTACCACGAGCTTCTCCGACGCCGGCTCGGACTCCCAGTCTGGGAATACAAGAACGACTTCATGAGACTCCTCAACACGCACCAATGCGTGGTCCTCGTCGGCGAGACGGGCTCCGGCAAGACCACTCAAATACCGCAGTGGTCGGTGGAGTTTGCGACGGTGACCGCTGGCAAGTCGAAGGGCGTGGCGTGTACGCAGCCACGACGAGTGGCAGCTATGTCGGTGGCTCAGAGAGTGGCTGAGGAGATGGATGTGGCTCTAGGTATGTGACAATGTCAGTTCTAAGGGCGCTTTCAAATAAGACGTTTTGAGTCGGACGAACACGGAGAATTGTATGATAACTGCATTAGAATAAAAATGACAAATTATAGACTAGCTGCAGTCTTGAGAACTACGACTGACCCTTGCTCAAAACGTCTAATTTGAAAGCGCCCTAAATGTAAACAGCCAAAAGGCCTTTGGTCCTAGGAATAGTTCTACAGTCCTATACAAATAGTCCGGTCGAAATTTGTAATTTTTCACTAATGGACCAACTGCTCGTCTACACGAATACTTGTCAATGTCTTCCATATTCACTGCAATTTATGATGATATCATCCAGCTAAATAGTCTTGGGAGAATAATATAGTCAAAATTGCAATTTAGTTGCAAGCTCTTTACACGGGTGTGTCTAATTTTCCTTAAGCAAAAGCTTGATATAAGTTACCAGTCATAAGACCATGTATTTGGTTCTAGAATCTTCAATCTGGTACATTAGAATCAGGTGATACTTTGAAATGAACTTTATGTGGATTCAAACTATGATCTTATTATAATGACGCGATTAATGAACCCAAAGTTTCCTGGTTAATTTAATTACCTCCAAAAACCGCAAAATATTTAAAGCCTCTAATAACATTAACTTCATCATCATTTTAATTCTTACAAATTACATTATCTGTCCACAGGTCAGCAAGTCGGTTACAGCATTCGTTTCGAAGACTGCTCTGGACCACAGACAGTCCTCAAATATATGACAGACGGTATGTTGCTCCGAGAAGCCATGTCAGACCCCATGCTAGAACAATACCGAGTGATACTCCTCGATGAGGCCCACGAAAGGACCCTAGCCACTGATATTCTCATGGGGGTCTTGAAAGAAGTGATAAAACAGCGAACAGACTTGAAACTGGTCATTATGTCTGCCACATTAGACGCTGGGAAGTTTCAACAGTACTTTGACAATGCACCACTTATGAACGTGCCTGGGAGAACGCATCCGGTAGAGATATTTTACACACCGCAGCCAGAGAGAGATTATTTGGAGGCAGCGATCAGAACAGTCGTTCAGATACACATATGCGAAGAGATTGCGGGTGATATATTGCTGTTTTTGACGGGACAGGAAGAGATAGAAGATGCGTGTAAAAGGATCAAGAGGGAGATAGACAATTTGGGGCCAGATGCTGGGGAGTTGAAGTGTATACCGCTGTATTCGACGCTGCCACCGAATTTGCAACAGAGGTAAGTTGTTACAGCTTACTACTTGTAACTGTGTGATTTCGGACTTACATTATTAATGTTCTTAAGCCTAATCAATCTAATTCTGTACTTAAATTCGTCAAATTTAGTCGTTAAAAGCAAATAAACGAAAAAATGATATTAATTTACTAACCTTTTGGTTACAACAAGTTACTTAAGTGATAGTTTTAATTTCTAAATTCGCTTTACGCTCCGGCGTATTTAGTAGTAAGGCTTCGCCAAATATAACGCGTACTTACTAGGGCATGCAAACCGGTTAACCGGATAACCGAAAAAACCGGATAACCGACACAATTTGGAACTCGGTTTTTGTCAGTTATAAATCCGGGTTTTTCGGTTTTTTCGGTTTTTCTTCTACGATTTTAGATAATTTAATAACTCATACAAGAACACGCTTCTTTAGTCATATCAATAAAAACAATTATTGTAATGCAATGTGGAAGCGGTACCAAGGCTCCAAAGTGTTCGCAAGAGACAACTCTATTGGGCAAAGCCAGCTGACGAAGCTAACGACGGCGGACGGTAGTGTAACGTCAACAAAAGCCGAGGTTCTGGGTGAGATCGAGAGGTTTTATGGACAGCTATATACCTCGGTCACCAAACCCGTTGATAGCTCAACTTCAGATCCAAGAGCTAAGCTAACTCGACACTATACCGAAGATATCCCGGACATCAGCCTATACGAGATTAGGATGGCTCTCAAACAGCTAAAGAACAACAAGGCACCGGGTGATGACGGAATAACATCGGAGCTTCTGAATGCGGGTGGAACACCGATACTGAAAGTCCTTCAGAGACTCTTTAACTCCGTCTTACTCCAGGGAACTACGCCAGAGGCATGGAACAGAAGCGTGGTGGTGCTCTTCTTCAAGAAAGGTGATAAGACCTTGCTGAAGAATTACAGACCCATCTCGCTTCTGAGTCATGTCTACAAACTGTTTTCGAGAGTCATCACGAACCGTCTCGCGCGTAGGTTCGATGACTTCCAGCCTCCCGAACAAGCCGGATTCCGAAAAGGTTATAGTACCATAGACCACATCCATACGCTGCGGCAGGTTATACAGAAGACTGAGGAGTATAACTTGCAGTGTTACAATCTCTCCAGCGGTGCCGTATTGACTATCGGTATATCGAGGTGCTGAAGTGCTTGTACAAAAACGCCACCATGTCGGTCCGAGTACAGGAGCAGAGCACGGGGGCGATTCCACTGCAGCGAGGCGTTAGGCAGGGAGATGTTATATCTCCGAAACGGTTCACCGCTGCATTGGAAGACGCTTTCAAACTCCTGGAATGGAAAGGATTCGGCATAAACATTAATGGCGAGTACATCACTCACCTTCGGTTTGCCGACGATATTGTAGTCATGGCAGAATCGTTGGAAGATCTTGGCACAATGCTCGAAGACCTTAATCGAGTTTCCCAACAGGTAGGCCTGAGGATGAACATGGACAAAACGAAGCTTATGTCGAATGGCCATGTTACGCCCTACTCAGTTTCAGTTGGGAGCTCAATTCTCGAGATTGTCGACAAGTATGTCTACCTCGGACAAACGATCCAGCTAGGTAGGTCCAATTTCGAGAAGGAGGTCAATCGTCGAATCCAACTCGGCTGGGCAACGTTTTTAAAATAAAAACCGAAAAAACCGGTTTTTCCAAACCGCTCGGTTTTTGCATGCCCTAGTACTTACGCGGCGTAGAACGTTAGCCTGACGTCGCACTATAGCACCAAATTGTATTGGTAGAATTTAGAACTTGGCGTCAAACCGTCCTAACGCCGTGACAGAGCAATGCGTACTGCTAGCGCCATTATTCTAAATATGGTGATGCTAGCATTTGCCTGCGGGTTTCTGACGTCTTGTCTCTCATTTCTCTATCACAAGGCTGATTTTTTTTTTTATAATAAACAACTTGAAAAAATCGTGCTGTCTAAGGCGAGACTCGAACCTACGACCGTTCCCTTGCCGGCTGTTCGATTTTTTCAAGTTGTTTATTTAAAATTTAGTTTGAGAAGCTGCTATTCGCTAAAAATTTTTAATCCCAAGGCCACGTTAATATTTGTAAGCACTATTTTAATGGTGACTGAATTAACGCCTCGTATAAAGCCTGGTTCGTGAGCACGTAGAATTTTGTCCAATGACCCCAAGCTACCCATCCTTATCGCTCTCGCGTAATTATACACCGTGTTACTTTGCATTCTTGCCATATTCACAGAGATAAAAGTAGGGAACAATACCTATTATATTTAAGATAAACAAGAGACTCCCATAAAGAAAGTACACTAAGATTTTAGTAAATTTGGTTTTTCAGTACAAATTGGAATAAACCAATTTTGTCTCGCACGTTCTACAGGTGCAAGTGGAATAAACCTAGTGGGCGTGGCCTAGTTCTTAATTTTATGGCTCTGGGTACCAGCCTTTTTATCCAGTCATAATAACTATTTTAAAAAACTCTTCAGTTGATTTCAGATTTTCCTTTCTACTTTACGGGCTTAGGACCGTCAAAAATACGTAATAATTAATAGGGTTTCAATTAATTTACAACATTGTACCCTATTTTTACAAATTAATAAATTAAGTATGAAATGAAATCACCTTATTCACAATTAATTATTTATTTATAAGTTCCTACTTACAAAGTTTACGTACTGCGAAGCAAGTGTTCAAAGTGACCTCCGTTCTGATGAAGGCACAGTCTAGCACGGCGAAGCGTAGGTTTTTCGCTTTAGTTTTCGCAACACAAACGTTTTGTATCACAGTTTCACTAAAACAATCCTTTCATGTAACGCGTTTACACTGTTTATCTCTTTTGCGCATACCAGTCGTTTCAAGTCACTCCAAAAATCCATTGGTGTCAGGTCCGTGGATCGTGGTGGCCAAGCTACTGGACCCCTCGTCCAATACACTGTTCACCAAACGTATTATTCGCGCACTTGACGTCCTTATTGTGGGGGAGCACCATCCTGCTGGTAGTAGAGCATTTGGTGTAACACTAAGGGTACGTCATCAAGCATTTCGTCTAAGACGTCTTGCAGACACTCCAAGCACCATTTTGATTAAATTATTCGTTGTTTGAATACACTTCAGTCATTTTTGTATTATTTTTAACGTGATTTGTGTTTGATGGATTTTTCAGTTTTTTACAAGTGTCAAAAAGACAATAGATTGCAATAGATATTTAAAAATACAATAAAAAGTAAAAAAGTCTCCATCGCCATCGCCAACAAGTGATGTGCATGCGTTACGATAATTAGTGGTGTGTTAAACAGATTGTCGATAAAATAAAATACTCAAGATTAAAAAAAAAATTTTTCGGGAATTATTTTTTTAAGGATTTGTGTTCAGTATCAGTAATATAGTAACCTCTGTAAATATGGCAAGAATGCAAAGTAACACCCTGTATTGCTGTCGCGACTGGGCGACGGGCGCCCGCAGTGAGTGTGCGAGCGCGACAGCAACATAATTACGCGCGAGTGACAAGGATGGGTAGCTTGAGGTCATTGGACAAAATTCTACGTGCTCGCGGACCAGACTTTAGCAGTTGCAGTTGCGTTTCACCGTCTTTTCTGGGCCTAACACTAACATATTCTGTTGTTGTACCTATAAATAAATAAACATTGCACCCTTCCCCAGGATATTCGAGCCAGCGCCGCCCAACCGTAGCAACGGCGCCATTGGTCGCAAAGTTGTGGTGTCCACCAACATCGCCGAGACCTCGCTCACTATCGACGGAGTGGTCTTCGTGATAGACCCGGGATTCGCTAAGCAGGTACGTTATAAAGGACTATTCAAACCTGAGCGATATTCGCTGCCGCTGTGGGTAGAGGTACATACCGCGCGGGTTTCGCTCAGGTATTTAGTATCAAGTATCGCGGCTACAGCGACCTGAGCGATATTCGCTGCCGCTGTGGGTAGAGGTACATAGGTAGACGGCAGCGAATACCGCTTAGGTCTGAACAGTATTATTACCGCATACCCACTGGGTTTTCTCTGCCGCAGACGGTAGCGAATACCGCTTAGGTCTGAATAGGCCTTAAAGTCATAAAAGTAATTTAGTTATTAAAATTTTCTACTCTAAAAATCTAATTGTCTAAGGTGAGAAAAGTAGTTTATTTTTAAACAATAAGATGCGTTTTTAAGCGCTTTTACACGTCCCAATATTATTTAGAATCTACCACTTCTTCGGGACAGTAATGGGCTAGTGCTGAAGTAGTGCAAGATACTCAGTCACTGTTGTTACCACATTAATTTATGAAGAGGCCATTTCTAGTTGTGGTGGCAATGAAGAAAACCCATAATAGATTCTAAAGTACAAGTTTTTTTATAATTAAATACATTTAAAATATTGATCCTTCGAGCCGGATATAATGTATGTTACATGTTGAAACTCAAAAGACGATAGCCGACTCGTTATCCAAGGAACTCTGGTTTGGTCCCCGCCACTGCTCGACTGTTGTGGTGAACCTACTCGTAACAAGCATATTATTTAGCTTACTATGAGAAGTTAACGGAAAAAAATCTAATATGCCTGGATGCGGACAGCACATCACCGGCCATTGTGAAATCCTTGAGGGATGCCTTTGTCCAGCTTTGGACATCATTTAGCTGAAACGAATGATTGCTGAAACTACCTGATGCTGTTAATAATATAATCAAATTATTTTGCCCACAGAAAGTATACAACCCACGTATCCGAGTGGAATCCCTCCTCGTCTCTCCCATCAGCAAGGCCTCCGCACAGCAAAGGGCGGGTCGCGCTGGCCGGACCCGTCCTGGGAAATGCTTCCGACTGTACACAGAGAAGGCTTACAAGCACGAGATGCAGGACAACACCTACCCGGAGATATTGAGGTTAGTGGGGGCTACAGTTGAGGTCAGTGGGAGATACTATTGAGGTCAATGAGAGTTAGATATGCTAGAAGGGGGGTAAACACGGGCTTGAAGGGGCAAAAGGGACTAGGGGAGCTAAATACGAGCTAGGGGGGCTAAATATGGGCTAGGAAGGGCTAAACACGAGCTAGGGGGCTAATCATGAGCTAAAGGGTTACATACGAGTCCCCGCCGAGTCTCTCTTATGTTAGGTTTCTATATTCAATCCTAACCAAGTGTAAACGCATCGAATATTGTAGACATTTTATCTAAAACTGAATTCAATTTGACAGTTGGAATCCGGATTTGGACAAGGATTGAATATGAGAAACGGGCATTAGTCTATCCCATCAATAACGCCTCAATCAGGGTGTCCACATTCTGGAAAGTCAGGGAAAGTCAGGGAAAAGTCAGGGAAGCTCATAGCAGTCAGGGAAAGTCAGTGAAATAGAGGGGTCACCTGGAAAGTCAGGGAAACATTGAGATTTTGTCTACCAAAACACTGTTTGTCTCCCGAAATTTCCCAGTGATTGTAAAATGAGGGATTTAATTAATTTATGCTCTAGAAAGACCTTTGATCTTGACTATCGAAGCATTTTTTTTTTCAGGTTTGGAGTGATCTACATTATGAATTTGTTTTTAGTCATAATTATATTACTCTTTGGTGTCTACTCTATTTGTGCGTGTATGAGGGTCCNTCTACATTATGAATTTGTTTTTAGTCATAATTATATTACTCTTTGGTGTCTACTCTATTTGTGCGTGTATGAGGGTCCATAAGATAAAAGAAACGTACACTTTAGATGATGATTTATTAGACACTGACTTGTCACATAAGATCTCAAACAGTTTTGTATAACGCTTTACATATTAGGAATACGTATGAGTAATCTCGCTAATGCCCGCTACAATACATCCCCCTTTCTTAAAAATAAAATACATGGTTAAACATTGTAACATAAATGGTTACATAGATGGTTAAAAATACAATACCTATACAATTATGCTTTAATTAAAAGATAACACTTTTTGAAATAAGGTAATAGTTAATAGTAGGTACCTACATACATGAGTATACATAAACGAGTAGATACACAAAATACGATTACACAATTATACGATTACACAAATGACTTTTTTTTTTAAATTTGCGCACTTTTGGAACTTTGCACTTTCACTTTTTCACTTTCACTTTTTCACTTTACACTATCACTTGTTGTGTGTGCTGGGCGTGAGGGGAGTGGCTGATGAAGCCTGACTCTCCTCTGCGTACTGCTAGCACAGGAAGTTCTTGAAGTTCTCTCCTTACGTATCTTCCATAGTTTCTTTTCACTCTCTTCCAATAGAAATATGCGATAATTATGATGATGAAAATGGTAATAAATATCAGGTAAAATTCCATTCTCTCTCTATCCATTTGTGTAGCGGCGGCAGCGGCGGCACTATTTCCGGCTCCGGTTTGGGCAATTATGATTTTTTCGTCAGCAACTTTACTTTGACTTTTTCCCATTGTAGATAGAATCAATTAGCAAAAGTGATTCGTGATTACGGGGCGAAGCGCACAACAGGTTTGACTATTCGTCCCGATCTTGTGACTTTGGGCTCATTGTTTACATTCGTCGTTGCCTTATTTGTCGCAACGGGATCATCGGGTAGCACGACCTTATTTGTCGCGTTCGCTTGTTCATCAATATCTAGCATAAATGCAGGTTTTAATCGATCTATACTAATTATTTTTTCTGTCTCTCCTTGCAATATTTTAAAATATTTATCAGTCTTGCAAATAACCTTATACGGACCTGTGTAAGGTTGCGTTAAGGGTTTAGTCACTGAATCACATCGGACAAATACGTAGTTGCACTCATGTAACTCTGGATGTACAAACATTTTTCCTTGTTTAACATTTCGTTTAGGCACAGATGACAAGTTAACTATCTTGTTTCGTAACTCCTTTAAAAAATCAGGGCTATTGGAAATTTCTCGCGTATTCGGCTGAAAGAAATCTCCCGGTAGTCTAATGGTTTCTCCGTATACCATCTCGGCTGCGCTTATCTGAGTATCTTGTCTTATGCTTGCTCGTAACCCTAGCAATGCTGATGGTAACTCTGATACCCAGTGCTCTGTGTTTCCTCTACACATAAGTGCTGCTTTCAAAGAGCGATGCCAGCGTTCCACCATACCGTTCGCTTGAGGGTGGTACGCGGTAGTTCTTAATTTCAAAATGCCCATTCTTTTCGACAGTTGGTTGAATAATGTAGACTCAAATTGTCGACCTTGGTCTGTCGTTAAACGCAAGGGACATCCAAAACGTGCAATCCATCCTGAGTAAATAATATCGGCAACTGTCTCAGCGGTAATATCCTTAACAGGATAAGCCTCTGGCCAACCCGTGGCTCTGTCTATCATAGTTACTAGGTATCGATAACCATTGCAGTAAGATAGTGGACCCACAATGTCCATGTGTAGATGTTCAAATCTGTCACTATTTTGGAATTTTCCTAGTGGTGATACAGTATGTCTTTGAACTTTGGACTTCTGACATTCGAGGCATGACTTAGTCCAAATCGAGATGTCTTTGTTCATTCCTTTCCAGAAAAATCGATCGGCGATCATCTTGCGTGTTGTACGTATGCTTGGGTGGCTTATTTCGTGTATGGCTTTGAAAGCTGATACGCGAAACGCTTGTGTCAAATATGGTCGGGCCGCTTCTCTAGAAACTTCGCAGTAAATCGGGATGATGCAATTTGGAATAGATATTTGTTTAAAGTGTAATGTCCTCGATTGCNCTATACTTACGAAGAGGAATGTATCAGCCAGACAAAGGTTACAGGTATTTAAATATGAGTTGGAAATGGTAGAGGATGACGTCCATCAGTGGACTAATCAAGAACTCTTTAAAAGCCTTTAAGTAAGGCAACACCACATAATGTTTAATGTATTAAGGTTATTATATAAGATAAGGTGTCTTTGTTGGCTATCCTTAATCTACTCTATCGCATTGGGGTAACCTGTAATGTTAGAGCTAAGATTGTTATTAAATAAATAAATAAATAAATAAAGGATGCTTACCTCTCCAGTTCCTTCTCCTCGCCGGCGTAGGCGCGCACGGTCTTGATGGCGGTCAGCGCCTCCTCCACCACGCGCCCGGCCGAGCCGTATGCCTTCACTTCTTGTTCGGAGCATTTTGTTTGGTACTGTGAACATAAAGGCCTGTTAGTAACCCAATAATTTACGGCAGATCACTGATTCTTATCGCAAATGGAATACTTTTGGCCCAGTTGAAAGCCTGCTTCCTTCATTTTCATCATTAGATCATCCACTGTAAGATCACAAACCTTTAAGCCTTGGATTCTATGGCAGGATTTGGTCAAAACTTCCCAGTGACCAAATGGATTACTTCTTTTCAACAGAAAACGTTCACTGCGGACAAATGTCTCCCCCCAAAGATTTCTTCCGACGAGATTCACTTCTACTCAGTCGTAGCACTCTTGATAGAGTGATCGTGGAATTGTTGTGGGCGGATGCCGCTCGCAATCTTTCCCTAATGCAAATGGTGGTCAACTAGATGCAATCGTGCCGAAGACCGCTCATAGCAGTCTTGATCAGATCTGTCCATCGCATTAGCGAGCTTCACGAGCCAAACTAAAGGTACCTTGGACACGACGGCGGCGACGAGTATAGCGACAGGCACGACGGACAGCCCGGCGAGCGTGAGCTGCCAGCCGTAGTACAGCGACAGCGCGGAGCCGATGACGACGGTGCCGCACAGGAAAGCCGTCATCGACACGTGCTCGCCCACGCCTGCCTTCAGCTTGTCCATGTCTCTGTGGGAGCAGAACGAATGAAAGTATATTCGTTGTAAATCGTAGGTTTACAGAGTTGGTAAGTAAGTTGATAGGCAGATGATTGAGTTTTGTATAATGAACCAAGCATCCTAGAGAAGTGGTCTGGTGCTGGTGGTGCTGATTGTTACGTCTGTCGTGGTTAACCAACAATCTGTCTAGTTTAACTACTTGAAACGCGTCATGGCATTTCTTTATTTCGCGACATAGGCCTTTTTAAAAGAGCCATGACACGAAAGCCGCGGTGTGGACAGTTTACGGTGACCACAACAATTAATAACTAACGATTTTCTTGATTATCGAACACTTTTTAGGGCTAATTTTTGTAGTCAGGTTAATATTTTCAGGGTCTCATACTACATTTACTTTACTAAAAATTTCAAACTTACTCTGTGAGCGCAGTAGCGAAGTTCATGTCAGTGTTGGTGTCGAAGAAAGCGACCTCCTGCGTGATGACGGTGCGCAGCAGCCGCAGCCGCAGGCGCGACACCTGCAAATCAAATCAAATCATTTATTTGTAAATCAGGTGACGGAATTCAGTTGGTACTTAATGAGTAGAGCTCTATGTTTGGCCTATTAGTGGCGTACAAGGTCTATTCCAGTTTGATCACCCAGGTGAACAAGTGAACTCCAAGCGACAATTAGGTGTCCGGTCATTTTATCCATGGGTGATCAACACCCATGGATAAAATGACCGGGGTGATCAAAGTGGACTCCAGTTTAATTAATATTTTAGTTTCCTTTGATCACCTTTAAATAAATTACACCACTAAATAGTCACATAACATGTCAAATTTGTTTGTTGCGGTTTTTAGAAAATATCAAAAATGTTACAAAACAAAATATGCAAGTACAATAATTGGACATGAGACTATTCAAAGGAGGTGTAATTTATTTAGAGATCAAAGGAAACTAAAATTTTAATAAACTGGAGCCCACTTTGATCACCTGGGTGATCAAAGCCAGGTGATCAAAGTGGAATAGACCGCGTACAAAGTCTCAGATAAGTAGAGATACAAATAAAACAACACAACAATGAAAGAGTCTTTGTTAGCTTGGCAACACTTCCTCAACCCTTAACCAGGCAGGTGGAAAGTTTATTTCCTAACCCTGGTTTGTTAGCAGTGGCAATACGCTTCCTTGAGGCAAGGTCACGCGTGAGGCGTGAGCCGTGAGCAGTGCTGATTGAAAAGTTTTTTTGGGCATTGGAAATGACAAAAGCTTAACATTTCTTAAGGCTAACTAAGGCCCGGTTTCCACCAAGACGAAGCGCAGCTGAATTCTGTCAATATCATTCAATCTGAATGTGATTTGATTAATTTTGATTGATTATTCAAAACATTTCACCTTGGTGGAAGTCGGGTCTAACTGAGGGCATTTTAGCATTCATTCATAACTTACTTAGTTCGGCATACTGCAAAGTTTAAAGGACAAGTGTGAGTCGGTCTCATGACATCGGACATAAAGGCGACCATTCATACTTACCTAACAGGTTTCTGTTGTGTTAATAACAAAGTCTACGCATCACCTCATTCATTGAATGAATGACTGAGCAAATATTGTAAACCAGTTCCAATAATGTCGCCGTTTAACCTTTAAAGTCCCAGACGGCATACATTAATGCCATAACAATTGATTATCTATTGCAGTGTTTTTCAACCTTTTTCATGACACGACCCCCCTAGTATGAAAAAATTTTTGGCGACCCCCTGATCGTTCGCTTTTTTTTCATACGTTTCATAATGTTGCAAAAATGATTGTAGGGCTTCAATCCATACAACATTTGCATAATTAGATTTCGGATTAATTTGTCTTTTTAAGATTTTTTTTACTGAGGTAGTTTTTACGACCCCTCGCGACCCCCCTATAGAGGCTTCGCGACCCCCCAGGGGGTCGCGACCCACAGGTTGAAAAACACTGATCTATTGTGTCTAGATTCGCGGGCCTTGAAGGATTAAACTAGTTCTTTAGTAGCACTCTACATTTTAGCATCAGAAACAAATAGGTATAACATTGGATGTTCTCCTTTCCAGAAAAATCGATCAGTGATCATCTTGCGTGTTGTACGTATGCTTGGGTGGCTTATTTCGTGTATGGCTTTGAAAGCTGATACGCGAAACGCTTGTGTCAAATATGGTCGGGCCGCTTCTCTAGAAACTTCGCAGTAAATCGGGATGATGCAATTTGGAATAGATATTTGTTTAAAGTGTAATGTCCTCGATTGCATCAGGTTTTTTAATTCGGCATCGTTACTTTGTTCTCGGGCTAATTTTTGGTAATCGATGGGTGAAGGCATGTCAATAGATGCGATGCGAGATAATGTATCGGCTACAATGTTATCAATGCCACTGATGTGTTGAATTGATGTACAAAATTGCATAATAAAATCGAGGTGTCGTATTCGTCTCGGCGTGTCGTTTTTTCCAACTGTGTTTTTCATTAACGAATATACTATCGGTTTATGATCAGTATAAATCGTTAAGGGTCTGCCCTCTATAAGATGTCTAAAGTGTTGTATCGCCATGTACATTGCAAGTAATTCCCTGTCGTAGGTACTATAGAGTTGTTGTGTATTGCTAAGCTTCTTAGAAAAGAAACCTAAAGGTTTCCAAGTATTGCCATCTTTTTGTTGCAATACAGCTCCGGCACAAGTATTTGAGCAATCTGTCATCAATGATATAGGGGCGTCCGGCGATGGAAATGCTAGCGTGACAGCTTCCAAAAGATTTTGTTTACTTTTTTCAAAGGCTTCGATACTTTCTTCGGTCCACGAAATAATAGTTTTGTCTTTTTTCTTTGAATTATGTAGGTAGTCATTTAATTTTGCATGTATTTCCGATGAATTTGGCAGGTGATTTTTGTAGAAATTAATCATTCCCAGGTAACGACGTAATTCTTCTACTGTCTTTGGCCTAGGAAATTCTGAGATGACCTTGACCTTTTCAGGTAACGGCTGCAAACCATCTTTCGTCACACGGTATCCCAAGAAGTCTAGTTCCGTTTTGCCGAAGTCGCACTTTGCTAGGTTTATTGTAATACCATATTTGTCGAGTCGTTCAAACACTTGTCTGAGGTGTTGTTTATGATCAAATTTTGATGACGATGCAATTATTACGTCATCTAAATATATAAAAATATTGGGTAGTCCTTGTAAAACTTCATCATTTAGGAATCTTTGGAAAGTTTGAGCGGCATTTCTCAAACCAAAGCTCATTCTCGTAAATTCATATAATCCAAAAGGTGTTGTGATTGCAGTTTTTTCGATATCACTGTCAGCAATTTTCAAATTATGGTAAGCTCGTTGTAGATCAATCCGTGAGAAAATGGTTTTTCCGTTTAACAAATAAGTACAATCTTGGATGCGTGGTATTGGGTAGCGATCGGGTTTCGTTATCGCGTTGAGTTGACGATAGTCGCCACAGGGTCTGATTTCACCGTTCTTTTTATTCACTATATGAAGAGGGCTCGCCCAACAGCTTTTCGAAGGACGACAAATACCCATTTCTTGCATACGTTGAAATTCCTCTTTTACTTTTCTATATTTGTCAGGTGGCAAAGGTCTCGGTCGCGCGAAGACAGGCGATCCCGTTGTCTCAATATGATGTACGACAGAGTGACGTGGCGCATCCTTGAAGCACATAGGTTTGGTAATGTTCGGATATTCCAATAACAAATCACTATATTCACTATTGCAGTCTATTGTTCGTATTGAAAAGTTATCACTTAATGTCACTGAGGCGATAGAACATAGGTTGGTAACAGAGTCTATAAGTTTTTGTTTGTTCACGTCCACTAATAACTTATGATTACTCAAAAAGTCAGCACCGAGGATTGGTTGCTTGACATCGGCTATCACAAATGTCCAACGGTATGGTCGTCGAAGTTTAAAGTCTAAATCGAGAGTTTTAACACCAAACGTTTTTATTTCTGAACCATTCGCTGCATACAGTTTATAACTATCACATTGTCCAAAATAACGTTGTTTTTGAGTCACTGGTAAAACAGATATATTTGCCCCTGTGTCTACTAAAAATTTAAGTCCACTGTTATTGTCCAATAAGGTCAGGCGGTGAACAGGATTGATGGTGCAAATCGCCGCCTCCGACTGCACCACGTTTAGTTTTCCTTTTGTTCAGGTTTTTTCCACGCACACGGTTCCACACATTTAATTGCTCTTTGTCTAAANCCAATCTCAATAGTTCTTCTTGATAGTAAACATCTAGGTATCCCTTTTTAGTTGCTTCCAATGTTTCTCCGTTTGCTATTTTTATACTTATAATGTTTTTTAAGTCTACTACATCCTTGAGGTATTTTTCATAACTTGCTTTTATAAAGTGTTGAGTCGCACCCGAGTCCACAACAAATACTATTTTTCCATTTTTGCCATCACATGCCAGTGCTTCATTTGTGGCACTGAACATGAATTTGCTACTCTCTGCAGGTTGTGCTGTTTCATTATACTGTGTTCTTGTAGTACCTCTATATCNTGTCTAAATTTATGATGATAGTAACATAGCCAGCCTGGACTGTCCGGCGTACGGCGGCTCATGTTACGGGCACGAGACGTCGAACGTGATCTCGAGCGATTATTGTTAAACCTTTTATATTGATTTCGACTTCTCTCCATGTCTCTGATTTTTAAGCTCAATTTAGCTATTTCGGCCAAAATGAACGAACTGTCACTGAGAGGTGTTGAGTTCACTTCTGCCACTTGTAAAGGTCTTGACGTTTCCATAATTTTATCCGCAACTGCTGCCAGGTTCTCCAGGTCTTGACTCTCACTCACTGCTAGCACGGCACGGACGGAAGAAGGCAAATGTCCTTGCCACATGATGCGAAGAGTTTCGTCAGGAATCTTTTCACGGGCCAAATCTTTCATTCGGCGCAGAAGCTGTGAAGGCTTCTGATCACCTAACTCCATACCACTCAAAAGTTTTTGAAACTGTCTTAACTCTGATTCTTCATAAGCCTTCAATAAACGCTCTTTCAATGCGTCAAACTTTTTGGTATCTGGTGGTTTCAATAATATGTCACTGACTTGCTGGATAACCTCTTTTCCGAGCTTGGCTACGACGAGGTTGAATCTTGCCTCATCACTCAACTTTTGTGGTCCCAAAATGGCTTCACATTGTATAAACCACAGACGCGGCTGGTCGCACCAAAATTCCGGTATTCTCGACGAGACTGTTACTGATGCCAATTCGGTAACTCCGCTGGAGGTGGCAGTGCTGGTTGATGGTCCTGTTTGCGAATTCATGTTGGTCGGGGTCACCACTTTGGTGTCTACTCTATTTGTGCGTGTATGAGGGTCCATAAGATAAAAGAAACGTACACTTTAGATGATGATTTATTAGACACTGACTTGTCACATAAGATCTCAAACAGTTTTGTATAACGCTTTACATATTAGGAATACGTATGAGTAATCTCGCTAATGCCCGCTACATTATATTCGTCTATAGGGTATTCACAATAATATTGATCGTAATAGGACTGTTCTGATTCATCATAATAATAATAATAATAAATACACTTTATTGCACACCAAACAAATAACATAACAGAAGAAAAGGAACACACAAGGTACAATTAGGCGGTCTTATCGCTATGAAGCGATCTCTTCCAGACAACCTATGGTGAGGACAGTTCAGATCATTTAAGTTTGTTTCATTTACATTGTTTGGTTTTGTAGCCGTACGCATAGACACGTCGGTCAGCTGCATACGTGGCGGCTGGACTTGTTGGGCTTGCTGAGCACCGAACTGTGGCTTATAGCCGAATTGAGGNTACGTATGAGTAATCTCGCTAATGCCCGCTACAATTTTCTCTCCCTTTTCTATTATATTTTTTATTGGTTAAGTAATTATTGTTAAACATACATACTATGGTATTAAATTATATCCACGTACTGTCTGTACGTCAGTTTTTTTCTGTTAGTTCCACAAATTTTTTTCCAGTGGTTAGTGGGTTATGTGGGCCTCTCCCCGCCAGAGAGATGGTGTCTACCCTCAAACAACCAGATGGTGTCCTCGGGAGCTCAATAAAATTGAGCGAGTCACTGTCTTAATATTCCCTCTAATAATAACCTTCCCTTTGAATCACACTAATGCTGGCAATTGCATTGAAATCCATATAAATCTAGTTCTAAATCTGTACGACAACAGGAACGGCCTAGTTTTATACCTACTGCTACTAGCGGCCGCCCGCGACTTCGTACGCGTGGATCCCGTTTTTTAGTGAGTGGAGTTTCGTAAAATCCTTTCTTAGCAGATGCCTACGTCATAACATCTAAAGCCCGGTCTGTGAGCACGTAGAATTTTGACCAATGACCCCAAGCTACCCATCCCTATCGTTCGCGCGTAATTATATTGCTGTCGCGACTGTGCTACGGGTGCCCGCAGTGAGTGAGAGCAGAGCAGACCAGACTAATCATAAATCATAAATCTTTAGACAATTTCACACATCGCCAGCTAGCCCCAAAGTAAGCAACTTAATGCTTGTGTTATGGGTGCTAGCTTAACGGATATACTACTTATATACTTTTTTTTTTTAAATACATACATATTATACATAGTAACACCCAGACCCGTCACAGAAATTAAAATTCATCATTTCAATTTCTGCCCGGCCGGGAATCGAACCCGGGACCTCTTGGCATAGTAGCACGTTCTGAACCACTACACCAAAAGACTGTACCTGCATGCCAAATTTCAGCCCGATCCGTCCAGTGGTTTGGGATGTGCATTGATAGATCACTATTGCTGGATTTCTATATTCAATCCTAATCCAAATTATACGGATTTGGATTGTCAACTGTCAAATTTTAATATTTTTGGTCAAAATAACTGCGGTTTTTGATGTTTTTACATTTTTATATTGTTTATAAGACTATTTAAACAATATTAAAGTGTAAATGCATCGAAAATTTTGGAAATCTATATAAATAAAAGAAAGTCGTGTTAGTTACTCCACTTATAACTCAAGAACGGCTGAACCGATTTAGCTGAAAATTGTCAGGGAGGTAGTTTAGAGCCAGGAGAAGGACATAGGATACTTTTTGTCCAGTTCGAAATTTTAAAAAAAGTCTGCTTATTTATTGCCATTAAGGCGGAACAAAGTTCGCCGGGTTAGCTAGTATAATCTAAAACTGAATTCAATTTGACAGTTGTAATCCGGATTTGGACAAGGATTGAATATGGGAATCGGGCGTTAGTCAGTCAAGATGTAAAGAAGAGAGTCCCCTCACCATCCTAGCGGCGGCCCAGTTGGCGAGCGTGACGGCGACGGCGGCGGTGGTGAGCTGCGCCGCCATGATGGCGAGGCTGGCCAGCCCGAACGCCAGCGAGTCGTCCACCAGCGCGTCCATGTGCGCCGGCCGGTTGCCTTCTGCACTGTGGACAGATATCATCATTAGCGGGTTGTTTAGTCTCTACTGCAGTCTTTCCCAAAGTGGGCGATAACGCCCCCTTGTGGGCGCTGCAGGCTTAAAGGGGGGCGGTAAGAGACCCAGAAAAAAATCGGGACGTTGTGTAGGGGCTTGGGAGGCGTCATCTACTAGGAGGACTCTTAGACATCGACTGAGCTCGACTCTTGACTACAAAAATGGGGGGCGCTAAAAATAATTTATTCTCAAAGTGGGCAGTAGACTAAATAAGCTTGGGAACCACTGCTCTACTGTAAGAGCACTACAATCTAATTTACCAAAGGCAAATGGAGGATTTGGCCTCCTCTACTCGTGCAAATTATTCAGCTCATGGAGCAGTTTCGAATAAACGAAGGAAAATGCTTCGTGCGTACTCGTGAGTCTTTCTCTCTGTCTAATCTTCTTTCGCTCTTTCTAGAAGAGAATGGAACTTAAGGAAACCCTTTTGCCCCTACCCAGGATTACACACAAAGCTTATGGCGCAGTTTCATACAAATAACGTAGGAAATACGAAAAATGCATGGAGGTGAACTTTGCGAGTGCTCTCTCTCTCTATCCAGGAGCAAGCAGAATTAAACTTAAGAAAACGGCTCTTGCACCTTGCGCCTACCCTGGGCAAAACGGACATACAGCATTTATATCCCAACGAAAAGGTATGCAAAAGCTGACAGGGATGCTAAAGCTGAGAGGTATGCTAAAGCTGAATGGTATGAAAGGTACGCAAAAGCTGACAAGGAGGCAAAACTAAAAGGTATGCAATAGATGATAGGTATATTCTATCCAAAATACAGCATTCCCCCCCTTCCAAAGATTTAAGCTTTAAGATACTCACAGCGTGGCCCCTCCTCCAAACAGCGGCAGTATGTACAGGTGGCGCGGCGTAGCGGCAGCTTTGTGACGTTGCACGAACAGTGACGTCACCTCGCCGTACGCCACGATGGCGCAAAGCAGCGCGCACGAGCTCACCGACCCCGTCAGCGCGCCCACGACTGTGGCCAGGATCTCCACCGGCCGCGCGTAGCGCCACTGAAAACAAAAACACAAGTTACAATGAGTTTACTATGACAAGTCTCCAACTACGTAAACATTGAGAACTCTCCAACGGCAACGAGTAGCACCACTGCATACACGATAGCCGGTGAAGGGGTCGAACTGGCCGACTCGAGATCCGAGGAACGCGGGTACAAATCTCACCGCCCCTCGACTAGACGTGAGCCCACACTCGTAACACACACGCTTAGCACGAGGGGCTAAATGGTACAAAAAAACACCAGTGATGATAATGCGCGCCGCGATCTATTATCGGTTTTACGCGATAAGCCCATAAGTTTGTCGTCTAAAAAATCATCGAAGATTTTATCCCGGCGCGCATCCTAGTCTGGCAGGATTTAATTGCAATTAAGTTCACAATGACAACTCTCTCATTGAGTCATTTATTTAGCTTTTTAAACCCTACCACTGCTTCAGGACTGTCACTGCTAATGTGGGCCAGTGCTCCAGGAAAATAATATAGGCCAGTGCTGAGGAACACAGCCACTATTGCTACCATAATTACAAATTACAACAATAGGCTAGCCGTGTAGTTCTGGCTGGGTATAACAGGACCACCCCCATTCTTCCCGTGGAAGTGGAAGGCGACTAAGGGACAAAAAAGCGGAAATCAGGCCTCCCCAACCCGTCTGACCAGTGTGGGGAGTGTAAACCAAGTCCTCCATTGCTTCTGGTAAATTGAAGAGGGTCGTGCTCCTACAATGGAGACTACATGACCTGGTGATGATGACCAACATAATTATTGCGTTATTTATACCAACAACAATAGGACAATTCACAATTTATACCAAGAACACCATGACTGATAGTTCTGGAGGCGATGACAGCAAACGTCGTTTATTATCTTTGGCACTTGGCAGATTCATTGGTGCTTGGTAAAGAGGTATTGTACCTTAGAGGATTAACCAATAGGTGATTGCTCTATGGTTCTTCTGAATTGGATATTTTCAAGGATATTTTTTATCCGACTGCGCCAGAAGGAGGGTTATGTTTTTCGAGTGTATGTATGTGGGTATGTATATTTCTTTGGCACGGCCTACAGCCTAAACGGCTTGACCGATTTTAGCCTGAGAGGTATCGTTAGATTCGTCTTAAACGTGAGAGTGACACTAGCTATATTAAAATTGAAAAAAAATCAATTTAATCTTCAAAAAAATATTTTTTTCTCAGAACCTATCGAGTGGGGTATCAAAATAAAGTGGTTTTTATTTAAGTAGCTTACAAAAATGTACCTATGTTATTATCTTTTTAGCTCTAATTTTTTTTACTATGTTTTTATAATTGCTTATTTCCCATAAAATAGAGTCAACGTAATCTTGAACAAGGTTTAATCACCTATAGTTGCGTCGGTTCAGCATGCAGTGTCAAGTCTTCCTGTACACGCAATCTGCTATTATTAATCTCAACTGTAGTAATCGAAATCGATTATAGAAATAAAACTGTATCTGTGATTAGCACATTATAATAACTATCAATAATGAAATAGCTTTCTGAGAAATTAATTCATTAGTTAACCGCATGACTACATCGTGCGTATGCGAATCGAAATTAAGTATTTTAGCACCTAAAAGGTTAAACCCGATGACAGTTATAAGATACTAGCTTTCCGCCCGCGGCTTCGCCCGCGTGGAATTTTGTCTGTCACAGAAAAATTTTATCGCGCGCGTCCCTGTTTCAAAAACCGGGATAAAAACTATCATATGTCCTTTCCCGGGACTCAAACTATCTCTATGCCTTTCATCAAAATCTCTTCCGTGGTTTAGGCGTGAAAGCAAGACAGACAGAATTACTTTCGCATTTATAATATTAGTACAGATGACCACACTGGGGAGTAACTCTTACTCTCGAAGAGGAAAACTAAATAAAAACAAATGGTAGTTTTCCACTGCCGCTGCGTCAGTGAACTGTTTATTTGCTAACGTTACGTTTGCGGAAAGATTTCAGAACGCGGTTAGATTAGGCTCTTACTTGCCCTTGAAAGGGTGAGCGACAAACGATACATTACTTAAAACATTCGACATAAACAAGATGGTTAAATTCATTTGAAAAAGTAAGAAGTGAGGTCCGAATTCGAATTCACAACCTTTCGCTTGCTGGGCAACGGGACTATTCCCACCTCTCTTTCCCACCACTACAACTCCTGTGTAGCCAGGGTCTACAGCTTGACCGCCAATAAAAACCCCACCAGTGAAGGTCAAGTTTGTCCCGGGGGAAAGTTAAACTGCTTAAAGTTAAACATAGGAGTTCGAAGTTAAGGTGCGACTTCTCTCCGTTGCAAAGCGGATGACAGGTGACAAACAAAGGTTTAGTAACCTTTATGAAAAAGATATGCACCACGGACAATAAACATTAATTAAGGGGGCCTATCTTGCTGGGCAAGTGGTCGTCCACTAAACAATAGAATAGAGAGTTACCCACAGTCGCAAAGTATATTTCGAGACAGATTTATCATGAACTCTTTATTGTACGTACACCACAGTACACCACATAAAACTGACTTACAGATGAATGAATGAACAACAAGTTAGAATGGCATAAGTAGTTTAGGCTGATTAGAAAGCTGGAAAAGAAAACTGATCTTCAACATTGACCAATTAAATCTTATGAGTTGTAAAGCTCAAGTAATTATGCAGGTACAGAATTTCTTTCAGTTTTCATTCTCCCATAAAACTTAATGCTGACTAAAAATCTCTGAGCCGCCCATCATCGCCTTTTAAGTATTTCCTACGTATACAGATGCTGACTTACATAAATGTCACTTCTTACCCATCAGGTCTTGTTCATATTCGGTGTATAATCGAGTAAAAGTGAACTCGAGCGCACGGACGCGGCTGGGGAAACCCCGCGCGCAGTCTGAGAAAGCAGGAAATGCTCGGTAAAGAAATAACTTTATTGCATCTTTGCAAGTTTGGTGGATTCATTTTGGAGAAAAAAACAATATTGGAGAGTTATTTCAATTACTGGATAAATATGTATTTACAGTCTAATTTTTTAGAAATCAGCAGAAATGTCATCAAACATGGCCAACTGACATAAAAATATTTTTAGTCTGTGAACTAGTGATGCGACAAAACCTCTCGTTAATCGCGAAGTGAAATTATTGTAGTACTTGCGTATCATCGCCGGGTGATCGTCAAAATAATAAAAATATGCAACAAAGTCGCAACATTGAATGTGAACTGATTATGAAATTTTCGAGAACAGGAAACAAACTGTATGCACAGATGTAATCAAAAAACACACTGTGGACAGTCAAACAATCAATGATATCTGTTAAGTTATTAAACTTCAAATAGTTGCAAAACGTTCTGTTTGACAGTGTTGCTACTAGTGACATCTCGCTCGCTCAGTCCTTTGTTGCTCTATTCCGTTAGGGAGGTAATTAATAAGATGCTATCAATTAAAAGAAGATTTTTTTTCTTTTATTAATAAGCAATGGAACAATACGTAAGCATAATAATTGCATAAAAAATGAAAATNCGCTACAACTCCTTTTTAGTTTTTTATCCAATGAAGTGGATTGATCTAAATTATGACATAAGTTTGTTCATAATTAGATTATTACTTTCATATAGGTTTTTTTTTCAGGATTAGAGTGATCTATGTTATGATTTTTTTTGTCATAACTAGATTACTCCTTTTTGTTTTAATAGTTGTACTTTTTTGTTTCAGTAAAATGATATATTTTCTATTGTCGATGTGCAAGTGCAACTTATAACTTATGTTTATTTTTTATTTTTTTTATAATTATTTATTATAAGACTAGTGAGCAGTTCACTGTGAGTGCTATTAATACAGGGTGGAAACGATAAGTGATCTCATTCGATTATTTCTAAACTACACAAGATATCGAAAAACTGCTTACAGCACCCCGATTACGGTAACTTTTAACGTCTACAATCCAGACGCGTTTCTGATTCTGCGATACGATTGGTCAAAACAGCTGACGTACGCTGTTGAACGACCAATCGTAGCGCAGAATCGAGAAGCGTGTCTGGATTGTTGACGTTATAAGTTACCGTAATCGGGGCTCTGATCTTGAAAGTGCTTTCAAACGATATCAGTAATAGGTGACAGAATTAACTGGATCTATCCGAAAAGTCAACGTGTCCTAAAATTCAAGGATAAGCCGGCGCCGCAGGATGGACAATATGGACATAGTCATGACTACTTTAGGAAAAATAAGGAAAAAAATCTATCTCAATAATTTTTTAACCCTTAAATGCATGATTTTTTATTTAGTTATGAAAAAAATATTTCAATTAGATTTTTAGTCACAGATAGGGGGAAAAATAATTAAAAAAATCTTAGTACGAAAAAAAGTATATTTTTGAAAATTAACAGTATGTAGCCAAATGTCTACACCATGCGTTTGTATGCCGTAAAATTGTTCTATGGTTTGTTTATTTGGCTTTTCAGCATGTTTGGCTCGCTATCTGAAAAGGAAATTGAGACAGCTCTTGCTGGTTTAAATGATGGTGCAGTCTCAGAAGATGATGAAAATTTAGATGATTGATGCAGTCTCAGAAGATGATGAAAATTTAGATGATGATAATATCGATTTTACCCAAACGTACGGGATTTGTTGCATGATCGGGATGAGGAGTCCATAGATCATAATTATGTTCCAAGTTAATAGTTATGTTCCAAGGGTAGATTAGACTGCACCATCAATAAAAGCAGCATGAGCTGCCTCAATTTCCTCTTCAGATAGCAAGCCAAACATGCTGAAAAAAAAAACCAAATAAGCAAACCATAGAACAATTTTATGGCATAAACGCATGGTGTAGACATTTGGCTACATACTGTTAATTTCTAGGTTTCTTAGAGTACCATTTTTTAATCTTGGATAGTAGCGTCAACTTTAAAAAAACTTGCCGCAGTAGTGTTCATACTTTTTTTTACAAAACGATGAGTCAAAATGGAGTGAAAGTAAAAATCGTTCAAAATTTTAAGGAAATAAAATATTTTGATTAACTTTTGTGTAAAAACTGCAAGGATTCTGGGGGTTTTAAGAGTTGGGGTGAACAGCAGCACTACTTAAGTTGCCGATATAAACAGAAAACCAGGAATTATTGAAAAATTGTGGTCGTGGTAATGTAAAATATCATAAGGTGTGTCAATTTTCGTTGAATTTCATCATTTATTGTGCAAGTTAAAAAATAATTGAGATAGATTTTTTTCCTTATTTTTCCTAAAGTAGTCATGACTATGTCCATCCTGTGGCGTCGGCTTACCCTTGAATTTTGGGACACGTTGTATACATAGATGGTCAGGGAATTTTGAAAAAAATGTCAGGGAAAGTCAGGGAAAAGTCAGGGAATTTTTTCGAACATTTGCAGTGGACACCAATGTTAGTGGCGGCTGCAATAGAGATCAGTTAGGGAAGATGGACTGACCATTGGGGTGTAGGTACAACTAAATGGTCAGATAAGTGATGTGGGGGGACCTAAAATGAGATACAGAGGTCAGTGGAGGCTACATACGGTACGGCCTTTTTTTACGTACCTTAATTTCGAACTCCCCCTATGTTCTTCTGATTAATTTCGTTGCGGGTCCAATGACAGTTTAACTTTCCCCCGGACAAACTTGACCTTCATTGGTTGGGTTTTTGTGGCGGTCAAGCTGTAGATCCTGGCTACACAGGAGTTGCAGCGGTGGGAACGAGAGGTGGGAATAGTCCCGTACATACGGTACGGCGGGCTAATTTCAGGAGCTCGATATACCGACAACCTCTTGCGGCGGTCCTACCGCAATATACTGAAGTCTATGGGGGGAGAACACTTAAGCCTTTTGGGTTGGATGAAAAAAGTGGATGAACGTGTTTGTTAGACCTCATTTGGGGAAAAAAATAGCGGTAGATCTATTAAAAAATACTGTTTATTTACTTTAAGTTGGTAGGGGTCCAATTTTTCGTCGTAATAATTACCAATATGTGACATTAGAAAGTAAGTTTTTTATTCATATCATAAAATTTTATAATTATGTTATTATAGTTTCGTAGATTTATTAACTGACAACTTGTTCGAATCTGTAGTCTATGAGGCTAAAGGCACACTAGCAATTTTAGACGTAGCATATTGTGTTTTTAAAGTTATACGAGTCCTACAAAATCCAAATTATTGGCCGCAATATCTTGACAATTTATTTAGAATTTTATAGGGCCCTTTCCCACGGCAATCCAGTTATGCTGTAGTATCAGTAATGCATGATCCGGCAAAACAAAACTTGTGTGTACACACAAACGTGTTAAAACTTGAATGAACAGTGTACACACAAACGTGTTAAAACTTGTGTGAACACTGAACACAAACGTGTTAAAACTTGTGTGAACAGTGAACACACAAACGTGTTTAAAATTCGTATGCATCAGTTTTTTATGGACGTTCGTGTGAATCGTAATATTAAAACGCATTTACTACTACTACTAAACGGCTTCCTGCAAAAAACGGGATGTCTTCGAGGGAAAATGCCTTATGCCAGTTTTCACCATCAATCCCTAATTTTTAAGTGACCTCTTTGAAAACAAAATTCCTGTTATGTGTTACCATAGATGTCACTTAAAAATTATGGATTGATGGTGAAAACGGGCATGAATCTAGTTAACCATTGTGTAGTGTGCCTTCAGCCGTCCACATCAGGGATGTTATGGATATCCGTAACCGTAACCGAAACTTTCGGATATCCGAAATAAAAACACATCCGTAACCGTAACCGGTATAATATTATTCCTATATCCGTAACCGAAACTACATATCCATAACATCCCTATCCACATCGCCACCGGCAGTGATCTAATGCGGCCCGCATTGCTCTTGCAGATCAAACTTAGGGTCTGTAGTTTTGCAGCTGAAGAAACTTGGCATCGACGATCTGGTGCACTTCGACTTCATGGACCCGCCGGCGCCAGAGACACTCATGCGAGCGTTGGAGCTGCTCAACTACTTGGCTGCCTTGGGTGAGTGACACACTCATTTGCTCACTCATTCACTCACTGAAACACTAAGAAACTTGGCATCGGAGACACTCATGCGAGCGCTCGAGCTGCTCAACTACTTGGCGGCTTTGGGTGAGTGATCCACTCAATCACTCATTTGCTCTCTCACTCACTCACTGAAACACTAATGCCCGTTTTCACTATCAATCCCTAATTTTATGTGACCCCTATTGGCGGCCTTGGGTGAGTGATCCACTCAATCACTCATTTGCTCACTCACTCACTCACTCACTGAAACACTAATAAACTTGGCATCGACGATCTGGTGCACTTCGACTTCATGGACCCGCCGGCGCCAGAGACACTCATGCGAGCGCTGGAGCTGCTCAACTACTTAGCGGCCTTGGGTGAGTGATACACTCATTTGCTCACTCACTCACTCGTTCGTTCGTTCGTTTCAGCCAAATGACGTCCACTGCTGGACAAAGGCCACCCCCAAGGATTTCCACAATGAACGGTCCTGCGCTGCCCGCATCCAGGCTCTTCTCGCGACCTTTACCAGATCGTCGTTCCACCTAGTAGGAGGCCTGCCCACGCTACGTCTTCCAGCCCGTGGTCGCCACTCGAGAACTTTCCTGCCCCAACGGCCATCGTCTCTACGAGCTATGTGCCCCGCCCACTGCCACTTGAATTGCTCACTCACTCACTGAAACACTAACGCCCGCTTTCACTATCAATCCCTAAATTTTATGTGACCCCTATTGGCGGCGTTGGGTGAGTGACACACTCAATCACTCATTTGGTCACTCACTGAACACTAATGCCCGTTTTCACTATCAAATCCTAAATTTTATGTGACCCCTATTGACGGCGTTGGGTGAGTGACACACTCAAATCACTCATTTGCTCACTCACTCACTCACTCACTCACTGAAACACTAACGCCCGCTTTCACTATCAATCCCTAAATTTTATGTGACCCCTATTGGCGGCGTTGGGTGAGTGACACACTCAATCACTCATTTGCTCACTCACTCACTGAAACACTAACGCCCGCTTTCACTATCAATCCCTAAATTTTATGTGACTCCTATTGGCGGCGTTGGGTGAGTGACACACTCAATCACTCATTTGCTCACTCACTCACTCACTCACTGAAACACTAACGCCCGCTTTCACTATCAATCCCTAAATTTTATGTGACCCCTATTGGAGGCGATGGGTGAGTGATACACTCAATCACTCATTTGCTCACTCACTCACTCACTCACTGAAACACTAACGCCCGCTTTCACTGTCAATCCCTAATTTTATGTGACCCCTATTGGCGGCGTTGGGTGAGTGACACACTCAATCACTCATTTGCTCACTCACTAACTGAAACACTAATAAACTTGGCATCGACGATCTGACCCGCCGGCGCCCGAGACACTCATGCGAGCGCTGGAGCTGCTCAACTACCTGGCGGCCTTGGGTGAGTGATCCACTCATTTGCTCACTCACTCATTCACTCACTCAAACACTGAAAAAAAATTTTTTTTTTTTTTCAAAATTTTATTTTACCGTTTTGTCGGCGTGATTAATATACTTACCTCCACAAAATTACAACTCTCTAGTGCCAATAGTTTCCAAGCAAAACCTCGGACAGACAGACAGACATAGAAACTATAAGGGTTCCTTGTAGGACTACGGAACCCTAAAAAGGACCTAAGCCTAGGCGCAGACCACCGATTTTTAGTTGGCCGGGCAACGCAGACCCGTTCTCGAAACAAGCGGGCAGCTCGCGCGGCGCTTTAGCGGCGAAGTGTTGTGTTCGGGGTTGTGTTGTCGAGATATTTGTTTTTATTCGGAAACGAAATGTCTGAACAACGCGGCGACAATTTTATTTCGATTCAAGTTTATTCCTAACGCTCGATTTATTGTGGGCAAAAGAAGGAGTGCGCTGCCCGCTCGTTGCCCGCTCCCTCGCCGCTGTTTTCGAGAACCGGTCTATTTGATTTCACGCATAAGATCCTGCCGCTCCCGCGCCGCCGCCGCTCCCGCCCCGCTGCCCGCTAAACTCGAGGCTGAGGCCTTATGGACAACGATTATCATCAATTTATCGATGTGTCTAACAAATCAATATCATCAAATTCCAGACGACGACGGCAACTTGACGGACTTGGGCGCGGTGATGGCGGAGTTTCCGCTGGACCCTCAATTGGCCAAGATGCTCATCGCGAGTTGCAACCACAACTGCTCCAACGAGATCTTGTCCATCACCGCCATGCTGTCAGGTCAGTACACAAGATTTATCAACCACTAGCGACCTGCCCCGACTTCGCACGGTTGCAATGGAATTTTGCAGCTTTTCTCTTCTAAAGCCTGGTCCGTGAGCACGTAGAATCCCGTCCAATGACCCCAAGCTGCCCATCCTTATCACTCGCGTGTAATTATATTGTTGTCGCGACTGGACGACACGCGCCCGCAGTAAGTGTGCAAGTGCGACAGCAACAAAATCAAAATCAAAATCAAAATCAAAAATATTTATTCAGTTTAGACCACAAGTGGCACTTATGAACGTCAATAGAAAATAATAAAAAAAGAAAAAGGTAGCCCTTATGGGGCACTTTACATGTCTCCTTATCTTTTGGGCCCTACCAGCGCTTCGAGACAAACATATGGCAAGTGCTGAGAAGAAACGCCGGAACAAACTCAGTCACCACTTATTGCCAGGAATTATCTAACGGTAAGAATAGTCAAATTTAAGTACATCAAATATGTGCAGACTGAACTGACCACGCATCCTTGTCATCAATATAGTCTCGAACCTTGTAGTACCCTTTGGACATAAGGGTATTTTTTATATGTATCTTAAATTTGTTTATTGGCAATTCGACAAGGTTGTGTGGTATTTTGTTAAATATGGTAATACATTTCCCCAAGAATGAATTACCTATCTTATGCAACCTAAATGATGGAACAGCAAGTTTATTCTTATGTCTCGTGTTAAATGAGTGGACGTCACTTTTCTTAGTAAATAAATGTATATGTTTACGGACATACATAATGTTATCAAATATGTATTGCGAAGCCACAGTCAATATATTGATTTCTTTAAAAACTTCTCTAAGCGAGTCACGTGGTTTAAGACCGTATATTGCCCGAACAGCTCTTTTCTGTAAAATGAAAATTGATTCTATGTCTGCTGCTGAGCCCCACAGTAAAAGACCATAAGACATAATACTATGAAAATAACTAAAATATACAAGCCTTGCTGTTTCAACATCAGTCAAGTTTCTGATCTTTCTCACCGCAAAGGCAGCTGAACTAAGTCTTCCCGCCAAGGCAGCAATATGGGGGCCCCATTGTAATTTACAGTCTAGGGTAATACCTAGAAAGACAGTAGAGTTTATCAGTTCAATGCGTTCATTATTTACTGTAATATTAGTATTAACTTGTTTGACATTAGGCATAGTGAATTTTAAACATTTGGTTTTTTTTGCGTTTAATAGCAAATTATTAGTTGTAAACCAGTCTAATACTTTGGAAAGAGCATTATTCACGTCGTCAAATATTTCCTGACGCCTGTCAGTTTTAAAAATTAAAGAAGTGTCATCAGCAAATAATACTATCTCACAAAGGTCCTTTGAATAAAAAGGTAGATCATTTATATAAATCAGAAAGAGCAATGGTCCCAGTATTGAGCCTTGGGGCACTCCCATTTTTAGGGGGGCGCCCGAAGAGTTAGTTCCGTGAATATTTACTTTTTGTAATCTGTCTGAGAGGTAAGAGTGTAATAGGCTTAAGGCCTTGCCTGATACGCCATAATGTTCTAGCTTAAATAACAGAGTTTGATGATCAACACAGTCAAACGCCTTCGATAAGTCACAAAATACACCAATAGCATCTTTTTTCTCCTGCCAAGCATCGAAAATGTGTTTGATAAGAGCAACCCCTGCATCGGTCGTACTTTTCCCTTTTGTGAACCCATATTGTTTTTCATGAAACAGTTTATTTAAGTTAAAATGAGACAGTAGTTGATTGAAAATAATTTTTTCAAATATTTTACTGAGCGCAGGTAGTATCGATATAGGTCTAAAGTTGGATGGGTCACTTTTGTCTCCTGCTTTAAATAATGGTATGATTTTACTATGTTTCATCAGGGTAGGGAACTGACCTTCGTTAATACATTCATTAAAGATATGAGCTAAATGGGGAGCTATAAGAGGAATGATGGGTTTTATTATGTCTGTTGATATGCCCCATATATCCTCTGTCTTTTTTATATTTAGTTCTTTGAAAGTTTTTATAATAACTATGGGGTCTATTTGTCTAAATTTTAATGGACTATTGCAAACATCAACACAACCCTCGAGAAGAGACATTGCCTGATATATAACACATAATATATATAACATAATAACGTGCGAGCGACAAGGATGGGCAGCTTGGGGTCATTGGACGGGATGGGAAGGATTCTTTTGCGCGGCTCCATCCTGATTTTAGTGAGGAGATTCGCAAATAATCTAAAGTCGCTGACATAAGGCAAATGGAGGATTTGGCCTACACTCCCTACTAGGGATGTTATGGATGTAGTTTCGGTTATGGATACGGTTACGGATATTGGAATAATATTATACAGGTTTCAGTTACGGTTACGGATATTTTTTTATTTCGGATATCCATAACATTCCTGTGGAAAGCCAAACAAGGCCTCAAGGATTTCCATAGCGACCGGTCTAGCGCTACCTCCATGTGATTCCCGCGACCTGCACCAGATCGTCTGTCCACCATGTGGGTCACCTGTCTACATGATCAGGCTGAAAGTGGAAGCAGAGAAACTGGCTATCTTATTTCCAGAGCCCTACCTTACGAACCGAGTATACAATTTTTCCTCCACTGTGATTGGGCCCTGGACCTCTGGATTTTGAGTCAGGTGCTCTTAAATTATCTTTCTACCCAAGAGGCAGAAAGATGACTAATGTCTGTAATAGGGCATGTAATATCGGAATTCCGATATTAATATCGGAATTCCGATATTAATATCGGAATTGAGTTCATGTGCTATAAAATTAATATTTGGTTATATTCGTAAGAATTCTAAGAATTCTGGATTGTTTACAATAAAAGAATGATTTTAGTCAAAATCTTTAATTTGGTACAAAACAGCTCTTCATAAAATTGAAGTATTTTAAAACCATTTTTACGTTATGGGTATCCATTGCTTTTGGTTTTTTATGTGACAAGAGGCAAACGAGCAGACGGATCACCTGATAATGAATGGTTACTGATAATGAGCCTATATGGACTAGCAAATAATTAAAGTGTTTTTGTAAAATCACAGGTATCAAACAATCTTTTACTCCTTCATTATATTACCCTGTTTTATGTTGGTGGAACGAATTTTAGAGTCATTCAAATCACGTGTTACAAAAATTGTAGAGAGGTAAAAAACTTGAATATGCTTGTAATTTGTTTCTTTGATTATCGTTGTACAACTCACAAAACCACTAGCCAGCCATATGTCAGCCATAGGACGTCCACTGCTGAATACAGGCTCCGATGCCGATTTTCACAATGGCCGGTTGGTGGCGGCCTGTATCCAGCGCCTTCCTGCTACCTTTATGAGTTCGTCGGTCCACCTTGTGGTTATGAGTCCTACGCTGCGCTTTCCGGTACGTGGCCTCCACTTCAGAACCTTGCTGCCTCATCGTCCGTCTGTTTTTTGTACTAAGGCAGAACCGTTGGAAGACCTTATCACAATGCTCGAAGACCTTAATCGAGTTTCCCAACAGGTAGGCTTTCGGATGAATATGGGACAAACGAAGCTTATGTCGAATGTCCATGTTGCTCCTTATCCACTTTCGGTTAGGAGCTCGATTCTCGAGATTGTTGACAAGTAAGTATGTCTATCTCGGACAAACGATCAGCTAGGTAGATAGATGCAATTTCGAGAAAGAGGTAAATCGTCTAATACGAAGACGAAAGTCTTCAATTAGTGTGTGTTACCAGTGATGATATACGGCTCGAAAACGTGGCCTTTGAATATAGGGCACAACGTGCTATGGACAGGGATAAGCTTGGTGTTTCTTTACGAGATCTAATCAGAAATGAGGAGCTCCGTAAACTAAGGTCGCTGACATAGCCCGACGGATTAGCAAGCTGAAGTGGCAATGGGCAGGACACATAATACGCAGAACTGACGGTCCATAGTCCAGTAAAATTAATGTTTGAAAGGGAGTTGAGATGTCGTTCTTTGTTGACCAAGTACCTATGGCAAATGCTAAAATTGATTTGGAACAAGTTAAATTAACCATAAATAGTAAAGATATTGAAATATTTGCAGTGGAACAAAAAATGATGGTAGAGACATGAGAAAATCATTGGTCTTTGCCAATCGTGTACTTTAGGCTTTGTGGCAGGTTGTGGCGAGTTTAAACGCTTTGTTTAAAACCTCAATTAAAACTTTTATCTGATTCCGATATTACGATATTGGGTCGCTCAATATCGGAATTGAAATATCGGATCTCGCAGTCCGAGATTCCGATATTACGAGATTCCGAGATTCCGATATTCATGCCCTAGTCTGTAATAAGGATGTTATGGATATGTAGTTTCGGTTATGGATACGGTTTCGGATATAGGAATAATATTATGTAGTGTATGACACACCTCTCCTTAGGCATAGTTATACTTATAAGTTAGCTGTAAGCCATTTTAGATTAGTATTAAACCGATCGTCGACGAATTAACATCTTTTCATTCCATCTCCTTGGTCCCCACATTACATGGCGACCCTGCCAGTGCTGCCTTAGGGCAGTGCTGTGCACATAATTATTATAATGTGAAATGTGATAGTGAAAAATGGACTAACAATTTTAAAGTCGAACAATTAATTTGAAATGATGCGGTAAATAATATCTTCGAAACTACCGGTTTCGGTTACGCTTTCGGATATTTTTTGTTTCGGATATCCGAAAGTTTCGGTTACGGTTACGAATATCCATAACATCCCTGGTCTGTAATAAAAAATCTCAATCAAACCAAATAAAATGAAGATCAAAGTACCTAACACAATATAATTTCTGTCCACAGTGCCACAATGCTTCGTGCGACCGAACGAAGCGCGCAAAGCGGCCGACGAGGCCAAAATGCGGTTCGCTCACATCGACGGCGACCACCTGACACTACTCAACGTGTATCACGCCTTCAAACAGAGTGAGTGGTTTGCTTGGAAATTAAACATCTTTAGTCAATAGGCTAGATGACAAATTTCAATTATTTGTCCGTCAGACAGAATAACAAAATATTAGACTCATATTTTTTATTTTCTTTCATAATTAAATAATAACAGTGCTACATCAAGTTGAAATGGCGCGTTACGTCACGCTTGAGTAGATTTTTTTACTCAAAAGTGACGTCACGCGACATTTCAACTCAATATAATACTGTAATTATTCGATTAAGAAAAAAATTAAAAAATATGTGTCCAAAATTTTTTTACTGTCTGTCCTACGGACAAAATAGAATTTCGATTTCATTACCCAGTCATCATCCCTATTAACTACCACGAGTAACCTACTAAAAGCAACGATACAATATGATACCTGCAATACGGCAAATTACATAAAAGTCCCTTTCTCACTTTTGAAGTTCGGCGGATCAAATCCGGCTCGAAGGACCAAATTTTGAAGTGTGTCATTTATTTAATCATCTACGCCCTAGAGGCTACAGGTGGCTGCTAGTTCTATGACTATGTCACACTCAACTTTCAACGTCACAACGTTTTTTAAAATTCAGTATTTTTCACACTGATTTTCATCACATTTTTGTCCCGAAGCAGTGATGATGATGATTCATCTGACCGATTTCTGCCATGGCCACCACTTCGACTCTTGTCTTGGCGGCGCTGGTGCGTCCGAAGATGGCTACGTAGCCGATTGGCGGCCAACTCCTTCGCTTTATTTCATCATCATCATCTCAGCCATAGGACGTCCACTGCTGAACATAGGCCTCCCCCAATGCTTTCCATGTTGCCCGGCTGGTAGCGGCCTGCGTCCAGCGCTTCCCTGCTACCTTTATGACGTCGTCGGTCCACCTTGTGGGTGGACGTCCCACGCTGCGTTTTCCGGTTCGCTTTATTTAAATAAATGTTTTTCTTTCTTGAAAGGTTAATTTTCCGGAAAATTAATGACTAATCTTGTTTCCCCAGATATGGAGGACCCACACTGGTGCTACGACAACTTCATCAACTACCGCTCGCTGAAGTCCGGTGACAATGTGCGTCAGCAGCTCAGCAGAATCATGGACAGGTAACATAATTATTCACTCACAACTACACTCAACATCAAATAAACCGCACCTTCCGCGACGCGAACTTTAAAGATTTTCTTCTGACATAATCATGGTGCCCCAACAATATTGGTGTTATTTGAAAGCCCAATAAATATCCTTATAGAAAAACACATTTAATTTCACCATAAATGTGACTTGAAAAAAGACCTCACTTGGGGCTCACCTCTGGCATCAATTAGACCAATTTTTATGGTTATAAAAATTGGCTCAAGCGTAACTACCTATTTTTTGAAGAAATGACTGGATCCCTCTAAACTAGACACATTTTTGAGGTAAAAACCTTTCTTTTGATGAAATGAAATTAAGAACTAGGCTTTTAAATGGTGCCAATATTGATGGGAAGTGGGGATGCATACGTTTGAAAGTGCTTGTCGCAGGAGGTGCGATTTATTTGATGTCGAGTGTATGTTAATACCTAAAGAATGGGACCAAGAATGGGAATACCCCCGGGACCGGTGTCTATGGACGACGGTAATCGCTTACCATCAGGTGATCCGTCTGCTCGTTTGCCTCCTGTCACATAAAAAAAAATAATTCTCTCAAACTACAGACTTTAGGTCGGCCTATGGCTTAGTAGAGTAAGTTAATTAGTATGAAAATGTATGAGTGCGCGCATTACATCTATTTGGTGTAGTCCAACGTTTTTGAAACGTCAAGTGGCAACAATCACTATCAACCCAGTATTATTATAGGTCATAATTATAAGGTTGTCCAACGTGGCAATAATCGAAACTAAATTCAGTATTGATAGTAGCGCCATCCTGACAATGCCGGTTCATTGTAGGTCATTTATATCGGCCGATTCTTCATACATATTAGAAGCCGATCTAACTATCGGCCGATAAAAAGTGTAGTCTACGTGGTGTTTCTTAGTGCTGCAGAGCAAAGTGACTGAGCAGGAAGCGATTTAAAAATCGATCAATATAATTGCATAAAATCTGCGCTCCGTTTCACTGGACAAGAATTGACAAGCCGGTTTAAAATTCATACTTCTTCTTTTGTTGATGGCGATGGACTTGTGCTTTTTCGCCACAAAACCAAGCAGTGAAACAGGGAAGACAGCCAGCAACTAAGGGCAATCTAAAGCTCTAGTATCTCCAAAAATCGCAATAGCATAGTCAAAATGGAGCTGTCTAATATCCAAATGTTTTTTAACGAAAATGTTTTTCTGTTCCAGGTTTAACCTAAAGAGAACGAGTACAGAGTTCACGAGCAAAGACTATTATATTAATATTAGGAAAGCACTTGTTAATGGATTTTTCATGCAGGTAAATTGAATTTTCATATTATTATCTACCTACCTACTTATTTGTTACTAACTTTTAAATAACTGAAAGTAACCCTTAGGGCCCGTTTATACAGTAGAATCTCGATTATCCGATTATCCGGACTCATTCTTCACGGTTTCTAATTACCGATTTGAGGTCTGGACCCATAAAAACGGAAGGCGCCTCCACCGTAACACGTACGGACGTCGTTTAGTTCATTTAAAAAAAAAATGATTTATCCAATGGTCTAACATTTAGATTTTTAGACTCTTAATGATGTATTGTAAACCCTTTCTATTGTAAAAAGTTTTTTTTTTTTTATCTCAACGAGGAAGCTCTTGGTCTGTATCTCACCAATTATTGTTATTGTTTATGTAATTATTAATTATGTAATTATTGTTTGATTTTACTTTGAAATCGATTATCCGGATTTTCGATTATCCGGAACACCCCTGGTTTTAATTGATCCGTATAATCGGGATTCTACTGTATGGGATTTTTTTTGCGAAAATTGCCTATGGTGAATGGATATTGTAATTTGTTCTTTGTCAGCGCACTGCAGGCTTGGATCTACTATCTGTCTGGAATTGATTCTTGGGACAATTTCGTCGTCATCGTCGAACAAAGACGGATCGACGATAGGATTGATAAAAAGAACAATCCGGAAAAATCGGCGTTTATTTTTTTGTAGCTTCGATATTTTGTTTATGAATTTTGAAAAATAATGTTATGTTAAACTTTAAAGTAGTTAAGTTGCGTTTCACTTTGCTAGTTACTTTTGAGTTGCATCTAAGTTTCTGCCATAGCGTCCGTTGAGAGACCACATTCATTCATAAGAATCATCAGAAACTTGCAGTTGCGTTTCACCGTCTGTTCTGGGCCTTAGTCAAAAGATTTCCACAGCTATGGTGACTATAGGTCACCCACGGTGATCCACTGTATCATTTAACATGGCTCGAATTAGATCAACAGTCAAATCGTCGTCGATGTGTCTTCAGGCGTTGCTACAACTCACAAGTAACCATTCTATTTCTTCTATCACTCACTCATCATATTTCATTCCAGGTGGCACATTTAGAGCGCACCGGGCACTACCTGACGGTGAAAGACAACCAGGTGGTCCAACTGCACCCCTCCACCTGCCTGGACCACAAGCCGGACTGGGTCATCTACAACGAGTTCGTGCTCACAACAAAGAACTACATCCGGACTGTCACCGACATCAAGCGTGAGTCTTGTATACCAGATGATTTTTGTAATTTCAGATGATTTGATGATGACGTCCACCCACAAGGTGAAATGATCTCATAAAGGTTGCAAGAAGGTGCTAAAGCCCGGTCTGTGAGCACGTGGAATTTTGTCCAATGACCCCAAGCTACCCATTCTTATCGCTCGCGCGTAATTATGTTGCTGTCGCGCTCGCACACTCACTGCGGGCGCCCGTCGCACAGTCGCGACAGCAATATAATTACGCGCGAGCGATAAGGATGGGTAGCTTGGGGTCATTGGACAAAATTCTACGTGCTCGCAGACCGGGCTTTACCTTAATGACTGGCCATATGCACTGTTCACCGGCTCACCGTCACACCAAGCTTCTGTCTGCTTCGACCACAAGCCGGACTGGGTCATATACAACGAGTTAAAACTACATCAAGACTGTCTCCGATATCAAGGAGACCGGGCTTTAGTGACATCTCGCTTGCTCAGTTCTTTGTTGCTCTATTCCGCTAGGTATATTAACTTTATGATCCACCCACAAAGTGGATGAATTATAATCTTATAAAGGTTGCAAGAAGGCGTTGGATGAAGGCTGTTACCAACCTGTCATCTGCTTTGCACTGGAGGGAAGTCGAACCTTAACTTCGAATAAACACAGTGTAACTTTCCCCATGGAACGAACTTGACCTTCACTGGTTGGGTTTTTCTTGGTAGTTGGTAAATCCTGGCTACACCATCCTGGTTTTTTGACCCACTGTTTTTGGTATTTTGAGGTGGTATTAGAGTTGCAGACATTTTATTAAATTAACTAAAGAAGGGGCTACTCTATACCTTTTTTGTTACGTGTGTTAAAATTTATTTTTGGAACAAAAAATCAAGAATATTAGCATAGACAAGTGTGGCTCAAAGCTTGTATAAATCCTATTAATATTATAAATGTGAAAGTTTGGATGTCTGGATGTTTGTTACTCTTTCACGTAAAAACTACTGAACGGATTTTGATGAAACTTTACAGTATTATTGTTTATAACCCAGAATAACATATAGGCTGTGATTTATGACGATCTGTGACAAATTAAATTTAATGCGGGTGAAGCCGCGGGCATAAGCTAGTTATTCATATTTTTTTATTAGTATGTAGGCGTTTTTCAGTGCACTTATACATTTAAATCTAACAATATTATCCATTATCTTTCCAGCGGAGTGGCTCCTAAAAATAGCACCGCAGTACTACGAGCTAAACAACTTCCCTCAATGCGAGGCCCGACGTCAACTGGAGCTGTTACAAGCGAGACTGGACTCCAAGGCCTACCAGGAGGGCTTCTAAGGCCCGCCACCAGGCCTCGCGGTCTCTGGGACCAGTCTGAAACAAGTGACTACAGTGAAGTGACAGTGCAGTGATGTGTGTTGAACGTTGAAGAACTGATGTAAAAGATGTTGACCGTTGCAGTCGTTTGGGAATGGCCGAAGTTAGTTAATAAAATGCTAAAGTCAAAATCTAAAAATATTTTATTCAATTTAGACCACTAGTGGCACTTATGAATGTCAAAATACAGTAAAAAAGGTAGCCCTTAAGGGGCACTTAACATGTCTTTTGGGCCCTACCAGCGCTTCGAGACAAACATATGGCAAGTGCTGAGAAGAAACGCCGGAACAAACTCAGTCACCACTAATGAGGGTTTTCGCGAATGAAAGATCCGCTCGATGGCGGGACGTGGATGTGGGGTCTGACTGCTGGTGGATTTTGACATATCTGTCATTGTCATGTCAAAAATAACCAATCATGCAGCATTTGGACCTCGCGTGTACGTATTGCCATCTGGCGGATTTTTCATTCGCGAAAACCCTCATTGCCAGGAATTATCTAACGGTAAGAATAACCAAATTCGAGTTCATCAAATATGTGCAGACTGAACTGACAACGCATCCTTGTCATCAATATAGTTACGACTACATATAGTTCCAAAATACTGAACTGTCCTATGCATGACATTGACAGTGGGGCGCCACCGTCAATACCGGATCGCTAGTTCCGATTTTTGCCATGTTGGAAACCATATAGTTGAACGATGGTAGCGCCCCCCTGTCATTGAGTTTGGTGGGACAGTTCAGCGTGGGTCATCTATAATCTTCTAGTCTCCTTTGCAGGAGTATGACCCTCTCTAATTTATCAGAGGCAAATGGAAGATTTAGCTTACAATTCCCACGCTAGCGAGGTTTGCACATTTTGTCATTTAGGCCTTTGTGTATAGTTGATTTATGATTGATGCAGTTTTCTACTGCTTATCTTGACTGACTCACTCATCACGAAATCTCAGAAACTTTAAGTGCTAGGAGTCTTAAATTTTGCATGGGGATTCCTTTTAGAACATAGGTGCTCACTAAGACCGGATTTTGCATAATTCAACCCCTAAGGGGGGTAAAACGGGGTCCACACGTACGAAGTCGCGGGCGGCCGCTAGTCATCTATATGATGATACTTGAAGGATTTACAACTTATTGAAGAAACACAGTTCAAGTTAAGAAGTTGATGAATTAACTTCTCAGCTCATCTAACTTCCATAAATCTTAATTTTACAATTCCAAGACTTGGTTGCAATTAAATTCAAATTATAAAATGTTGCCAAACAACAAAAAATATTTTTATTCAATATTTTAGTCATTCCCAAATGATTTCAATTAGGATAATCTGTTACAATGATTTGGATTAAGATGTTATACAGGTTGAATTGCTCCTGGTATTGGAATTTTAGTATAATTTGAAAAACTGATGTATGATACAGTCTGGTCTGTGAGCACGTAGAATTTTGTCCAATGACCCCAAGCTACCCATCCTTATCGCTCGCGCGTAATTATGTTGCTGTCGCGCTCGCACACTCACTGCGGGCGCCCGTCGCACAGTCGCGACAGCAATATAATTACGCGCGAGCGATAAGGATGGGGAACTTGGGGTCATTGGACAAAATTCTACGTGCTCACAGACCGGGCTTTAGTAATATCATGTCCGTAACTTTGTCTATGAGACCACGATAAGTAGAACCTTTAGACTAGGCGCAGACCACCGACTTTTCGTCGGCCGATAGTTGGGCCCGATTTTAATTTGTATGAAATCGAAATCGGTGTAATGTGCGCACTTCCATACATGCCCATACTGATTAACAGCCCGACCCAACTATCGGCCAACTTAAAAAATCGGTGGTCTGCGCCTAGGCTAACTTGATAATAAGAATCAACACCTTTAAGAGCGTTTACGCCGTTTGGCGCAAAAACAGTACTTTTTCAACTCGTTACAATCATTAACCAGTAATACTACAAATATGTTATAGGCATAAATATGTAGTTAGGCAATTTCGTCGTCTAAATAGTTAATTGAGAAAATATTGCGATTAGTTTAGCATTTAAGAATTCTATCAAGATAAGTCCACACAGGTTTTGTAAATTTCCACTTTAGCGTCAGTTTACAAGCTGAAATTTTTATAAAAATACTGTGAAAACGATTTAACAAACATTTATATCCTATAGCATAGATCCTTGGGCAAATAGTTATCTGAGAAAATTTTTAGATTTAAGCATTTTACAATAAGAAATCACAAATTAAAAGAACGTGAAATACCCAAAAATCAAAGTGATTTTTTCACCAATATTCTTCCTTTATTCAACACAAAAATAGCTTAATATAATAGAAGAATATCTTATCTAAAATATTTACTTTGAAATTTAAAANATATTATAAATGCGAAAGTTTGGATGTCTGGATGTTTGTTACTCTTTCACTCAAAAACTACTGAACAGATTTTGTTGAAACTTTACAGTTTTATTGTTTACTAGCTTTTCGCCCGCGGCTTAGCCCGCGTGGACTACATATTTTTTTCCAAAATAAAATGTAGCCTATGTTACTCGTGGATAATGTAGCTTTCGATTGGTGAAAGAATTTTTAAAAACGGTCCAGTAGTTTTTGAGCCTATTCATTACAACCAAACAAACAAACAAAGTTTTCCTCTTTATAATATTAGTGTAGATATAATTTTATGACGATATGTGACAAATAAATTTCAATAAATAAATAAGACGTGTCTAAAAAGCGCAATCTATCGTCATTGGTTGAAATCTACAGCGCTGGACAAACTACTGTTTTTGACGTTCGTAAATATTCATGCGGGGGAAGCCGTGAAACGCCATCTATCAACATGATATCAAACAACAGATTTTACGATCTAAGGAGTAAAAGGAGGTCCACGCGTACGAATTATTAATAAAATTAATAATATTTGTATTCATCTGGTCTTACTTGACTTTTACTTTACGTATGTCATGCACGATGACATTGATGACATTTGTGTCAGTATTTTTGTACGTCCCCACTAGGCATAATTGGGATGTATTTTTCTAATTTGTCATAAGTTGTGAGAAAGCCTGTAGCTACAACTGGGAAAGTATGTGTCACCACTGGTGACAATCGATATTATTTATGCCATTTATCCTCAGTGGCGACAAAGCTAGTGTCGACAACCGAGAATAGACGCCAGTTGCGAGGTGACCATAGGTCCCAAGGGGAAATGTACGTGTACGTGCACCACGAGAGGTGGAAACCAAAAGGTAGAGGCTTGAGGATCTAGGCCCTAGAGTGCTGAAGGGTACGCCTGGCCGTCAGCCAAATTTTACGTCGCACCATAGAGGCAGTTCTGCCTGTATTAGAGGAGTGGGTGCGACGGCATGATCGCCTCACACAAAGGGCGACCCAGGTTCTACCGGGCCATGGGTGCTTCGGGCCATTCCTCCACCGTATAGGCCGAGAGCCTGTAGATGGTTGTCAGTTAACACTGCAGTCTTGGCACGTGAGTCACCGCAGCAGACTGACACGCTCCAACAGTGCCCAGCCTAAGCGAACGAGCGGCGGTTGGAAATGACCTCTCCCTACCAATCGGGAAGAGGCGTGAGATAGATAGATAAATTGTTTATTTGTTGTAACACACTTTTTTTTAATGCTTTTAACACACACATTATGTATAGTTGCTATTGAAATTCAATTCAATATCGAAATAAAGTTAGTTAGTCAAGAAACACACTAGGTGACACCACTGGTATTTTGTTACACAGGTTAGTAATAATTTCAACAGTTGCAACATAACAAAAGTGACAAAACAACATAAGATAAAGATGACTAGCGTTTCAAATAGTTCCCTGCGTCAGAGTGATGTGTGCCGCAGCGATGCAAAAAGCAAAGAGCTCAGTATAAACACTACCCTCAAAAGGGCAGAACACTGATTTTCAGCTTTTGCTAGAGAACGCATGAAGCGTACAGGTACGGAATGAACCCGCTCGCTTTCGGAAACAATATCTACATTAGTATAAAATATATGATGAGACAAATAATCTTATGGTATAGTGTGCTTACTTTCTGTGAAAGTGTTCTTTCACAGAAAGAAGCAGTGGAAAGGGGGAGCGAGAGGCCTCAGCCGACACTCCGGTTATCCGCCGCCGACACCCTGGGCGCAAGAGGACAGCTTATGGTCTCCAACTGTCCCTTCCTAACAGGCCTCGGTCGCTAGACATGGAGGTGTCTGGTGGCGGCTAATGACGAATGCTACAGGCAACAGCCAATGGCGATGTCCCGCATTCCCTCATATCACTCATATGGATCATGGCAGAAACAGTCAGGTTTTTAGTGGGTTTAGGGGCTACCCACCTTCTAGTAGGAAGAACCCCACATAACCCACTAGCTGCCCCCGCAGCTGGTGGGTATGAAATGTTATGCATTTTCCGGATAAAAAAGAATAGTTAACAGGAAAAGTTTGTTTTGAATAGAACCGATTTGAAAAAATCTCTCACCATTAAAATTCAATTTTTTTTCCGCTGAACATAGGCTGTATAAAATATTCTCAAAATAGTAAAAAACCTTTGATAATTTACTATTTGATAAAGAATTTACGTATTTATTATTGATTAGGACTAATGTATACCATTATTTATAATTATGGAGTCGGTGTTGGAAGATTTGAAGATTTTATAGTTTCCTTGAGCTGTCACTTGACAGCCTGGCACACTTTCACGATGGTGGATCAAAGTATTTTGGTTTGACTATAGAGCGTGAGAACACGCACACAGTCATAATTATTTTAGTGTGAATAAAACTAGCATCGAAATTACCTAAACTTGACATGCCACGCTAGACGTAAACGCTCTTAAAGGGAGTGTATAGAAACATTTTAAACATTTGAAGATTGAAAAGTCAACTACATAGTAATAAACGATATAGAGGATTTCTTCTTTTGTTACTGGCGATGAACTGGTTTTTTTCGCAGCTGGGATTTATACCCGTATTCACAAACGATGCTTGCTTAAGTTAATCAGCAATCGAACACACAGCGTTGAATAGAGCTCTGTGATTGGTTCATGTGTCAGCCTGTGTGTGCGTCTATGCGCATTGTGAGACCTCATAGTAATGTTTGTAAATACGGGCGTTAATTTCTTGGCAAAAAGTAATTTATAGTTTCCAA